TAACCATGGAACTTTTGTTTCGGTTTGACGTCACAACTTCAGTTTATCTAATAAAACACATTTCCTTTTGCTCGTGTGTCTGATTTTACTAGACAGAGGCTTAGCGACGGTATCACAAAAATGAGGAAACCGTGGAGTTTGAGACAACAGCGTCGACATGACACCAGAGTCTACACCTGACCGCAGTGTCAGCATGACACCACAATGACACCATAAAATCAGCCACTATCTAGACCGGAGTGTCGTCATCGGACAACAGTGTCAGCATAAGACCACAGTGACACTATTAGACCACAGCCTCGCCACTATCTAGACGGCAGTGTCGTCATCGGACAACAGTGTCCACGTGAGACCACAGTGACACCATAAGACCAGCCACTATCTAGACCGCAGTGTCGTCATCGGACAACAGTGTCAGTAGGAGACCACAGTGTCACCATAAGACCAGCCGCTATCTAGACCGCAGTGTCGTCATCGGACAACACTGTCAGCATGAGACCACAGTGACACTATTAGACCACAGACTCGCCACTATCTAGACCGCAGTGTCGTTATCGGACCACAGTGTCAGCATGAGACCACAGTGACCGCAGTGTTAACATGAGACCACAGTGTCGATATAAGACATCACTGTTGACATGGGACCACAGTGTCGATATAACACATCACTGTTGATATGAACTCTGCCAGGTCCACTTAGTGACATCGTCTCTACACATAAATGGAGTTAAAGGGCTTCTGTTGTGAACAATCTTAACAAAAACTCATTAACTGACAAAACAGAGCACACTTGTAGATGTGTTGAAGTACATGTTCAGAAAAGGCACGAACAAGTGACTCTGAACACGCAAATGAGTAAAAACGAAACAAAGCCTGAGTCACGACTCAAAGTACGGGAGAATACAGGAAGGCAATTCTTCATAGGAAAGCGTGACTTCCAGGTTCACCTAACAGACTTGTGTTATTGTCCTTGACCGAGTATATCAACACATACTGCCCATATGTAACCCCACGTGCTTACAGCGTTACAAGGTTCGCCCCTCCGTACACATATACACACTACAGGTGTTACGTGAGAGTCACTGAAGCACTACAGGTGGTCGTAACTCCACGTACAACATTCTGTATAACGGTAGTAGAAAGTGGCAGATCGCTATTCTAGGAATGTCATACACACAATGTAACCTGTTATTTGTGTCCTTGATCACTGCATCTGAGAACTTCTTTGAGGGTCATTTAGAAGTTGGAGTACTAAGTAACTGTAAGATATATGGATGAACAACTTTATAAGATTACCAGCAACGTTTCGGTGTCGGTTCTATCAATAGCTTGATAACGGCGTTAGAACCTACACCGAAACGTCGCTCCTATTGCAGTAAAGAAGCTGTTCTTCATCTATTTATCTTATCTTTACTCAGAGAATCTGAAGTAGACTTTAAGTGCATTGGAGCTTAATGGTTCATGTAATGATACTTGCCATGCAATAGACGTATGTATAACGCAATACAGATATTATAGACAGCAGTGTGTATAATTCATATTTTTATACCTACATATGTTTGAAATAGATCTTTACGTGACTTGATGAAACTGACGATATATGTTTCTCTGGACCCTCCAAGTAAGTGAGTGAGTTTAGTTTTACGCCGCTTTCAGCAATATTCAAGCAATATCCCGGCGGAGGACACCAGAAATGGGCTTCACACGTTGTACCCATGAGGGGAATCGAACCCTGGTCTTCGTCGTGGCGAGCGAACGATTCAACCACTAGGCTACCGCACCGCCCCTCTGGACCCTCCAAACCTTAGAGTAATTGATTTCCCTTGCTGTTCCAACAATCAGGTGATGGGCGCCTCCTGACAGAAACCTACAAAAGCAGATACGATGCAAGATGCTCTGGCATGAACATTTTGGACACTTTCTTATGTGGATGAACCGATATCTAATTGTCGAGCCTGATACTCCAAGAGGGTATAGTTCTAAAGTGGTTCAAGTGAGGCAGGAGATGCATGTCCTCTGTTTCATACAAACTCTCTAGCTTCGCTAAGCATTGCGTCAAGGGCCGAGCTAAATCTGGGATGATGTCCGGATATCTACTTCTGAGAATCGACTCGTGCCAGAACAAACACAATCAAGTGCTGAAGAAACTACCTTTGAAACTTGGCTAAAGACTGTCGGTAACGAGTTTGGAATAATTATTAGCAATCTCAATGAGCACACATCGTGTGCATGTGTTAAGTGTGTCGAGATAAGTGACTAGAATGCGGTTAAAATTACATACGGGATGTCATTGTCACGTTCAACTTGCTAGCCGGAATTTCTACACTCCCGAGCTAAAGAAAGTATTCCTCCGTGTCAGATTGTGGATGAAAATGAAACAGTTTTTTGAGTGAGCGAGTTTGGTTTTACGCCGTTTTTAGCAATATTCCAGCAATATCACGGCGGGGAACACCAGAAATGGGCTGCACAAATTGTACCCATGTGGGAAATCGAACCCGGGTCTTCGGCGTGACCAGCAAACGCTTTAACCACTAGGCTACTGAAATGAACCTGGGCCCTTATTCTCGAAACGTTCGTAGCCCTAAGAATTCTTAACTTTGATCGTAGCCAATGTGTTAAGAAGTTCGTAGCGTTATTAATAATGAATGTGCTCGGGGATATTTTAATTATATACCAGGGGCTGTTTAAGACAGACAAACAGTGACAGTGATTGTCTGTACGTCGGCAAGACAAGCATCAACATCTGGGAATCTCTCCTAGCTGCGATGACATCTTCATTTGAGACATATCTTAGTATACACGTCCATGATGATTTAACCTCGGCCGCAAATGCATGTGATTGTGAACTGCGACTTTAGAGCACACACACACACACACACACACACACACCCCTCAACAGTAAAGCTGGGCTATCCCCCGTCTTATGGTACCTATTGTCGAGCCCAGACATACCAGTTAGTACCATTTGTGGAACTCTCTTTCAAATTATTAAATATATGCAACCATAACAAATACAGATTGAATGCGAGAATAATATATGAGGGCTGCCATGTTATGACAATCCAAACTCCTCGCAGACGACTCGTAATATAACTGAAATACAGCCAAATTCAGAGCTAAATCCAAATTGCCATATGTTATATTCGTTATACATCTCTAACAACCAAACATACTTCGCTGATGTGAGTCTCATTTGCTCAAATACCCCAAAGCGTACATGTAAGGAATGAATAGTGAACATACACATGCTCCCTTTCATAACCATACGCATGGGCAATAGCAGGGGTGGAAATAACTTTAAAATTGCTAGTGTACTCCGGTACATTTAGCACATGTAAAATCACTTGCCCTGATAAATTTTCCACTATACCGGCCGTTTTCTTGTTGATTTTTTAAATAAACAACATCATTAATATTGGAAAGTCAAATGGACACCGGTACAGTGTGATATACAAATTTGCTTGCCCGACAGAAAAAAACGCTGGACTCGGGCGTCGGGCAATGGGTTATTTCCACCCCTGAATAGATTCCTGACTTCGATCACTCTCGCACGAACTAAACCCACTCAGCATAAAACAATGTCAACAAAGAAGGAGGTCAGGACCTCCTGCTGTTTTCCAGCTCATTCTCCTGTCATGTTTATACCTGGGGTCATATCGTTGTTAGACGTTCAGATACCTATCTATACACACATGCTCATTCAATATGAATGAATTTGCCGTCTGTGTAACGCTTACAAGAGGGAATCAGTCCGCTTGCTTTCACTGACATAGTTTAGTGTATTTAGCAAGGGCGACACGGTTTGATGGTTCCAGGTCTCCAACACATAACACACACATACCCGTGTATACTTATACCTGAACAGCAATTTGCTCTCCGGGTGTGGGTTGACCTGGATAGGACTCATAATCAACGTTGCCATCGGATACAGCAACATTCCATGATCAAATCACTGAATGAGATAGTAGGCGTTGACGTGACGACCATCAATATGACAGCCATATCTCTCGGTACACAAACGTTTTACACATTATGCGACTGGGAAATCGAACCTGGGTGTATCCGTGACGGTAAACGCCTTACCTCAGTGCTACCCAACTGCCCTTCTGCCTATGCGTAGACAGTGAATACCGTTTCTAATATCATGTATAAATAAAACGATACTAGCATAGGTTTTATTGAAAAGTAGATGTATTATCTTTGAGGACGTCAATTGAATCATTTATGATCAATGCTAAGATTTTTTATAAATCATTAACCATAATATTATTTACGAAAATTGATAATAATTTATGTAAATTGTAGAAAAGGGGAAGTAATCATATTTACACAAACCTTCCTCAAAGCATCACTGAATACATGTCTTCACCGTAGATTATAAATTCAGAATCCCTATGTACTACACTGCATGACCCGCAACAGAATGTCAGTGGCAAATTTAAACATGTACGGTAACTAATAACGCTGTGTTTTGACAAGAGGCAAGATATATTTCACGGATATTAAAGTTAACGGAGAATGTCCCACGTGACTGAAACTTTCTGCACCGAGGCGGGTACTTGCCACGTCGCTGTTTCAACAGTGTTTACTGTTTGACCTCGTCTGAACAACCGGCACTTGTTGGAAACCGATCCAGGTCATACGCACACCGCATCTCGGGGATCATTAGAACCTAGATACACATTAATATACATGTATTTCCTCACATAGCGACAGGGGGTCAGGATATATTGTCGTGGCTACAAGTCGTGACGTAATTTCTATGTGTAACACTCAAAACTGAATGTTGATATACGGATCACCTTAAATAAATACAAATGAATCAACTCCTGTGTAACACGTAAACACGACCACCATCAAAACAGTGACAGATTGTATACCAAAACATAGATACGCAGTTACATTAAAAAGGCAACTTTCGGAATTGATGAAGTAATAACTATATACTTTGTGTATTTCGTTTCTTACTGAAGTTTCCTAGAGTAATAATCTAATGTTACCTTCTAGTCGAGGAAGTGGTAGAACGTCGTCGTCAGGTGCGTCCTTTGATCGAAACTGTGACACAAGGAGTTTATAGAACCTGAGGAAGTCTTTGTAAGTTCTCTTGATATGAGAAGTCCTACCATCAGACCAGAACACCTCAACCACGAACACATATTCCATACTCAATCGTCCCATCTTCTTCTCGGCAAATCCTGTGACTGCAGCGAAAGCTACAAATAAATTAGCGCATGTGAGCGAGTCCCACACACTCGAAGCCATTCTCAACACTTCTAAGCCGGCTGAGACATTTATAAACTTTCATTTCTTTGTCGACTTCATTGTAAGGAGGGAAATAATTACACCGTTTTACGCTCCCCGTCCGCCATGTTGGTCGAGCAGACGACAGCGCTCGCTCTCTTCACATCTCAATACAGCGAGATCTGTTATCAGGTTCGGCTATCAAGGCAGTCCACAGTGGGCCGTAAACAACGCAAACCACCGATCCTTTCAAATTATGGCTGGTTATTAAGATACTGTCATTGAAATCATCAGCCACGCAGCTGGGTGATTTTCTTTTGTGTTAGCACTGTGGAAACCGATCATCCATTAAAACACAAGAAAGACTAAAACACAATCATCCCAAGATTGTTGAAAACTTCGAGTAGCGAGTTATCGTCTGCACACCACTGGCTGCACCGCGCCCATCGCTACTGTATGCGTGGATAAAATAAACAACATCTGCAACAACACACACAATGAATCTGCCGAAACCGCTGAAACAGAGGTCTCGGAATGATCGCGCCTGGCTGCATGACCGACAGGCTCAGATAGAACTTCTCACACTTTCATAAAGAGATCATATTTCAAGGTTGCAGCAGATTGGCTAGGGCTTCAAGTACATCAGTTTTCTTCATTTTTCGTGTAACTATGGTGAAACAGTCTCTTCATCTTCTCAATTTACGCTTCCGATTCCAATTATTTCAAAACGATTATCTTCAAAAAGACCCATCGCTATCATCCGGTGTCTTGATGGATATAAATCTGGGCCGAATTAACGTTTATTTATTGGTCTGAAAAGGTAGCAGCAATGGTTTATTTCCCTAAAGAGGAAGGTACCTGATTTTACAATTAACACCTGCTTGGCGAAGTCAGACAGCTATTCCGACATGCTGAGTCGTTTATGTCGAACACAGGTTTGAAGGTAAAACAAATTCCGTGATCTGAAGCACACCCTGTAAAAGTGGTGAGGGTTTAGGCCGCTGTTAGCAATATTTCAGGCATATTAGAATGTACAAGCTGGGAATCGAAAAGGGCATTTGACGTTCATGAAAATGTGGTGTTACGTCCGTTCAGTAATACTTCAAGCACTTAACGTCAGTCCGCGCAAGGCAGATTTGCACAAGTCTCTAAGGAAAAAATTAATAGTTTAGATGATAATATCTAAAAAATAATAAATAACTGTACTGTCCGCTTACCTAGACTCGCCTCTTCGAAGGATAGAATTACTATACACCCATGGGCTCAGCATTCAGTACAGCCTTGGAGCAAGGCTAGACACAAGGCTGTACTGTGGAAAGTTAATCCCAGTCGCAACCATGTGTCGAACCAACGCTTTATCCACTAGGCTAACTCCTACCACCTACATCGATGCTCAGGCTCTGAAAACTTCTATTACACTCAAGTCGTTTCTTATGATTACGATCTACAGACAGGTTTTCAGGGCTGAAATACAATTACTGTAGTTCGTGCATGTCTCAGTCAGTATACAAGACAACTATCCTAATAATGACGTCATCACCAGTGTGAATCTTCATTATTATAATTAGGTTATACCAGATTTGACCTCTGCTAAGATGAAACCAAATTGTGCTCAACTATATTCACAACACGATACCTTAGTGTAACGATTTCGTAACCGCCGTATGTAACATCGACGTGCGTTAGTCGACGCGTTGACAACGCTGTTTCCCCTGGACCTGATTTCTCCAAAGAAAAGTTTACTCAAATTTCTAACTCAGTTTGACAATTTGAAACAGCTGAGTTTCTAACTCAGTTGCATTTCTAAGACCAAAAAGCAACAACGTCTCAAGTAAAGTATCTACCAAACTCAGATTGCCTATTAAGTTTAAGTTCAATATCAATTTCACTATATTATGGCAAATAGATTTTCCAGTGTTTGCTCAAATTTCAGCCAAAACTCTAACTTGATCAAACTTCAGAATTAAGATTGTTTCGAGAAATCGGGGCCTGGGGCTCCTTTCACGAAGCAACCTTTACTAAGGTTAACCTTAACTCCCATTCTTTAACATTGCACTAAGGTTACCTTAGTGACTTACGATCAGCTTAGTGCTTTGTGAAAGGAGGCCCTGGTCTCTAACCTTTTCTACCGATGTACGCGCCGTAGTAAGAAACATTGATCGTGTCTTGACCAGTTTACCAGAGGTTGACAATATGAGCAACTTCTAACGTGTTCGGGTTCCATGACATGCTATCAACCCAGGCCAGTTACTGACCATCCCATCCATTGAAGTCAAGGTAAGCGGACGAGGCCCGGGGCCGGTGGGGTAGCCATGTGGTTAAACCGCCCGCTCGTCACGTTGTGGGTACAATGTGTGAAGCCCATTTCGGGTGTCCCCAGCCATGATATGGCTGAAATGTAGCTAAAGGCGGCTTAAAGTAATACTCGCTTGCTGGCTCATTCTAGCCCCGTCCCTAAGGCGATATTACCAGCTGAGTAACACAGGACCTCGGTCAATCATCATCAAGTATCTGCTCCATGAAGCGTGTTGCAATGCAATTTTATATGTGAATCTGTTCATGTAGACATACAAGACAAATGCTTTGCTTTACTAGTACGGCGCCATGCCCTGGAACCTAAACTAAAGAAACTAAATGTAATAATTTTTATAGATCCACATATCGATAAACCTCAGGTCAAGGCTTAAAATGAACTTCAGAATATGTAGTTATGTCTAATCCAAGGGGTGTTATGTAACATCCTGGGAATTTTATCTTCACATTACTGTTAAAAACACCTATTCTATGATACGACCCCATTCACATCGCAGGACATTTCACTGAGGATTCTCAACTCGCTGCTACTTTGTCTTATGAACAATGGTGAAATATTTTGAAGTCCTTCTTTCGAAGCATGAATAATATTTCATCTTACTTGATTATCAGCCCCGTGAAGATCCGGGTTCGAATTGGTCTTAAGTAACCCATGCTTGTCGAAAGAGGCGACTAACGGGATTGGGTGGTCAGGCTCGATGACTTGGTTGTCATCGCATCCAAACTGTGTAGGTGGATGTTCATGACGTGTTTCACTGGATTGTCTGGTCCAGACTCGATTATTTACAAACCGCCGGCATATAGCTTGTATATTGCTGAGTGAGTCTTCTGAGGTATTTACAAACATGCGTGCATTCATATTCAAAATAAAACATTCAAAATACGTGCAAAAGAAGCCGCTTCGACCAAAAAGTTACGATTTCGTCCTCATATTTGAGCATATTATTCCACTGCAAACAAATATGTTCAGGAAAGCATTGATTTTTTAAACTTGCATGGTGGGAGGAATAATTTGATAAAGGTATTCAGTCCCAAATCGGCCGATTTCGTTTTATGATGTTATCAACATCTGGCCTATTGTTTGAAGACACAAGGAGATCTTGAGAAGAATCGCTCTAATCTTGATGACAGTATCAACAATGTTGGTGCTGTAGTGGATGTCTTGGTACAAGAGAACACCTTAACAAAGTTTATGAAGGCGGATATTATGGTAAGTTCCATTTTTATAATATGACTTTTAACATAACTGTCCTAGGAACTATTTTTTATCCTTTTCTTAGTTCGTTTTCATTTTTTTATGATATTGTAGGAGAAAGAGGAAGTTACATTTTATGATCGTATCAAAGCCTTATTAGATACCCTTCCCAGGCGAGAAGATTTCAAGGGTAAAACAGGATGATACAGTCCACGAAGGGGTAGGATCTTGACTTTGGCAATCCCAAAATACTGATCCAAAGATGTGAAATTTCTGGTGATGATTTGAGGGTAACCAACATGGTACTGACCATACTTGTTCATCCAAGGATACAATGAAGTGAAATCAAAATAGAGAATGTCTTCACCAATCCCTGTCTCATGAAAGAATTTGGAGGCATTGGTTCGTCCACCAAAAAATTAATCTCTCAGATCTTAACGTTCCTGAAGATTTAAAGTGGACACATACGTTTTCAGTTTAGGTTTGGTTTTGACTTGATGTCAAACTCCCAAATTCATAATGCTTCTGTTTGATGGCTGCATTTCTCTTCGTTGTTAAGGCATACAACTCACTGACAGACTGCTTGGTGTGAGGCAGTACTGTTTTGTCTCGGTCATGAGGATATAGCACATAGGACAACCAAGGTAGAGACAACCGTCAAATTGGTAGACAGTGTTGCTGTCATGACAGCCCACATCTACTTTATACTTGGTCCCTGGGATCTGATATCCCCCTTCATTCAAAGCGTGTTGAATGTGATTGCCTTGGGAGTGGATGAACCATTCCAGCCACTGCATGGAGATCAGACTGCAATGATCTTTGGCGTATCCATCTCCAGGTACCTTGGCAATGAGACTTGGAAGGGTCTCTTTTTCATGAACAACAACCCCTGCATTCTGTAGACTCGCCAGGTTTGACTTCCACCCATTGCTGTCCTTTTCCCTCTTTCAAAGAAGGCCAAGGAGTAATTTCACATGGATGTGGTCTGTCAAAAACTGCTGTGATCTGCTGTGTTTTAGGGTCCTTGACAAGATAGGTCGTCTCTGTGACAGACAATAATAATTGTCGGAAGTTCATGAGAGCTTACCTCAAATTTGGACGTCTGACCAACAACAGTCTTCCATTTCTTGAGCAAAGTCAAAGAGTTTGTTCTTTAGGTCTGCATGCCATTGCAGGAAATCATTCCTGCCTTGTGTAGACATGCTGTTCACTCCATAGAAAGAAGCATCAGGATAAAGTCCTACATACTGTTGGTTGACAGAGGTGTTAAAATAACGAGGGAAATAGCCTCTCTTCAACTCTTGCAGATCAAACATCTTTGGAAGGTTGGCCAATTTGGTATTGAAATGGACATGAGTTTAGACCCATTGTACTCAATGTTGTCAGGAATACTCCTGGTTTGAATCAGATAATCCAAAAGGAAACAAGTCAGCATTACCCTTGAAATTATGGGCAAAGAACGAAAAGTTTTTGTGACCTTTAGTGAAAAGCCAGACACAAAAGTGTGAGGCTGTGTTCTCGCCTTTGAACTTGACTTCTTGGTGACCATAAGTGTCTGGACCAGGAGCCGTCTTGAAACATTTATATTTCTTATGCCATTCAGAACAATGATGACAGGAACTAAAGCTGTTGCACCTGGCCCCAGGATTCAAAAGTTCAGACTGTGTACTTTATGTTATTTTAGTAGATATTTAAAATAAAGGTCACAAGGGTGGGCAAATGACTCATTGTTCTAGTACAGTCATACCTCATTCTGTTTCTTCACATCAACAGGGTTACTTGTCCCAACCCATCAAAACATCTAGATGTACTGGGGAAAATGCAGTTGGGTCTACACCTATTTTCAACACGATACACTGCATATACCTGATGGTTGGATGTATCTGCTCAAGATATTTTGTGGAAATATACTAAGTGTGATTGTGCTGGTGGATTTCCTAATGGTGACATGAGGTAAGTTGTTTCAAATCCCTATTCCATTCCCTCAGGTGATGTTAGTAAGGTTGCAAAAATGTGAAGGCAAACTTACCTTAATCATCTCATAAAGATATCAAAACATAATCCTATTAATCACAAAGTATAATCCAATGGATGTTAAGTAATCCAATGAGAAATACACACGCAGGTATGAGAATGGGAGTATATCCACTACTTGTAGTCACTTCAGAGGCTGATGTGTGAATGAGTGAGTGAGTGAGTATGGTTTTACACCGCTTTTAGCAATATTCCAGCAATATCACGAGGGGAGAAACAAAAATGGCTTCACACATTGTACCCATGAGGGGAATTGAACCCGGACCTTCAGCGTAACAAGCGAACACTTTAACCACTAGGTTACCCCAACACGCCAAGGTGAGAATGAATTTCCAAACACTGTTTCGGTCTATAAATTTTGTCTGAATTTATAAATAACCTGTAGGGAAAACCATATTCTAAAAGTAGAACATGACTCCCATCTAAAAATAGGCTGTTTATATGGGTAAGGTCTAAGAATAGACTCATTTGTTCATCAAACAATAGGCTTGGTGTTGATGACGTCATAATATAAAATGGCCGATTTGGGACTTAATACCTCATCTTACAACAGCTTTTGCTTCGAAAATTGTAGAGGCAACATTGGTCCACATGTCACTGGTTGCATGTCAGTTGTGATAATCAACTCAGCAATATTCCAGCTATGTGGCGGTGGTCTGTAAATAATCGAGTCTAGACCAGACAATCCAGTGATCAACAGCATGAGAATCGTTCTTTGTAATTGGGATACGATGACATGTGTCAACCAAGTCAGCGAGCCTGACCACCTGATCCAATACTAATCCGGGATCTTCACTGGTCGATTCTTTACTGTTCCTATGTGTAGTATATGTTGAGTTTGAGCAATCTGAATCATTGAATAAGCGTTATTTGTAGCAGTGGCGCTGTACCAGTACCTTGCAGATACACGATCATTGTGTGCTGTCCACATTAATAGCCACGTGCTTGAGTATCATGCTCCCAAGAGCACAAAAACAGCGAATTGTTTGCAGTACGTTAACATGAAACTATGAATCTCAATCTCTCAAGTCGAGGTGGTGTCTGCAGGAATATATATTCAATATTCATTATTTTATTACATGATTAAATCATTTCACTGCATTATTTCTGAAGCAGTTATATTTTTCGTTAGTATATAAACTGAAAGCCATTAAAAACGCACTTGATATTTGTTGTCCTAGAACTTACAAAGGTTCTATTGAAGATTTGGTTCCTGCGATACAGAGGATGTAGGGGTAAAAGGCTGTTATTCTGTCCCAGAGCATTCCTCACATATGAACTTCGATCCTTAAAACTGAACCTTTGACATTTCTCTTAAACACAACCACATTCAAGAAACACGTTGTGCACGTGCATTACCTGCACCCAGGCCCATGAAAAGCACAAGGAATTGTGAAACTCAATCACTTTGAGAAAATGCCACGCTTGACACAAGACGAAAGGAATCAGGCTATCAGTATGGTCAGTCAAGGTGCTTCAGATGTGAAGAATGCCAGGCACTTTAATGTGCATCCATCCACTGTTGATCGACTCAGACAACGCTTTTGGGCCACCGGAAGTGTTGCTGATCGTCCTCGACCTGGTGCAATACCTGTGACGACAGCTCGACAGGAACGCAGTATATCTGAGTTTCACACTTGCGAAATCGGTTAAAAACAGCTGCTGATACGGCAAGAAGGACAACTGGGCCAAGACAACGTCATGTCAGCGCCCAAACAGTGCGAAGACACCTTGCTGCCTTCAACATCCCATGTCGTCACCCGTACCGTGGTCCAACCTTATTGCATCGCCAATAACATGACTTGGCAACAGGCCATGGCGAGATACCATTTCTTTAGATGAATCCAGATTTAACGTATCAATTTGCAAATGGATGTCAACGGATTTATCGACGTCGAGGAGAAAGACTTGCGCCAAACTGTGTGCATGAACATGATCGTTTTGGAGGGGGTGATGCCATGATCTGGTGTGCTATCAATGCCAACTTCCGATACCAGATGTTAGTGGTTAACGGCAATCCGAATGCTCAACGTTATGTGGACAATATCCTTCGTCCGGCTGTTTTCACAATGACGGATCAACATGGCGGTCGTAACCAGTTTGTGTTTCAGCATGATAATGCACGTCCCCATGCAGCCAGGGTAACAAGGGACTTTTTGAATAATAAGAATGTTCGTGTGATGGACTGGCCTTCATTGTCCCCAGACATGAACCCAATCGAGCATCTGTGGGATGAACTTGGGAGTTCGAATCAACTTGCACCAAGGACAGTTGCTGAATTGACATAGGCCCTTCAACATCACTGGCAGACCATCCCACAGCTGTTCCTGAGATATGTGTGTCTTTCAATGCCCCGGAGACTGCAAGCATGTCTTGTAGCTTACGGTGGACACACACGATATTGACTGGAAGTGACCCCTCCTTTGTTTGTTGTTGCGTCACTGATGTTGTTGTTGATTGGACATTTTCAGATGAAATTATTCACAGATGTTTACTTAAAACATACCTGCCAGTTACATTTATATGTGTTGATATTTGTGTGAGTAAAAAAAGTATGAATATCAAATTGCGTTTTTAATGGCTTTCGCTATATGCTCAAACCAGAGACCATATAATATATGTACATAATTTATTGACAACAAATCACATCACACTTTGCTTATTCTGTTGCTTCATTTGTTTCTTTTTTAGTTGCATTTCCTTTTTCCTCAGTTTCTTTTCCTGTTTGGTCAGTTTCTCCTTCCTCTGGCCTGTCGACGGCACACTGAAGTCTATCACCGCCTCATACCCAGGCTCCATGTGAAACTGGACATCCTCCAACTCACGACCTTCACAGTACTCCTGATACACAGAGCTCATCTTGACAAGGTCATGGGCTGCTTCTAATGTCAAGGCCTCCAGTTGTTGCCTGGCAACGAAAACCTGGCTTGACTCCTGGCCATTAATCTGCAAGGGAGACAATCAGTAAGATATGAATGTAGCAACCATACAATTTTATGTGATGAAGCTCACAGATGATAACTGCTCTCTTGAAACCCATGAGTATAGTGCTACAATATTTAAACGCACAATGTCACGCTTTTTCGATAATATTTTGGTCTATGATATATATATATATTGGGGCATATGCACTCACTTTAGCTTCCTATTGATACAATAAAAACTTATTATCCCTTACGATGTGCTTGAATCCATAATTGAAACTTCGAGGCGAACAGCTTCCAAACAGATAACACTTGCCATATACGGAATGTAAACAATTGCTCTGTACATAGAAAATATTGTAATCTTAATACGTAATTCTTTTTCGGAATAAATTATATGGTGGCTTCACTGGGGGCTGATAGTTAGTATTAATGAGAGAAATGCAATATTGATTTTTTGAGAAGTGTGAAGTGATAGTGTGCCTTTAAGATCCAACCATCAAGCAATGACCTTCTGCTAGTGCAGGTAACCCTAGAAGCAAAACCTAAATAGTTCAGAGTGCAGATGTTAAGATTGTAAGAGACGAGATATTTTAAGTCACAATCAATTCTAATTTCTTTTCCTTGAGTACTAAGACATGTTCCTCAACTTGATCTTAGCGCTGTGACTATGCTAACACTGCTTGCCCAGACAGTGATGCTTCCATGGCCTACTAGTCTAGAACAGCTCCACCCACCTTGATGACAAGGGGCAGAGGGTAATCCTGGTCCACGTCGGGCCACGCCTGCTCCAACACACCCTTGTCCTTCAACAAACAGACGTGTATTAAGTCAAGTATGTCAAGGATGAATTAGAACTTCATTGGCTCAATGGCTTCTTCTGAGATGTTACGGATGAATGGCAGCATCAGCTGGACAACCAACATGAGGCCATGAGGTGAGCTCACTTAACTTTCAGCAGTGAATGAAATAAGGCCCATCCGACCGTCCAAGACGGGCCTGATTTCTGATGGACGGTCTAAATTTACAGCTAGCCAACCCAATGGTCTGGTAAAAAGTTTAGATGTTCCATACATCTGAGTAAATTCACCATATCTTTGTGTCTGGTCTGGTTAAATCCATTTTGGGCTGGTAACATTTTGAAGATACCAGCCCTGATGTCTGGCTGGGTTTTTGAATTGCTTTCAGCCAGGTGAGCAATAAATAGGGAAAAAATTGTGTCAGTGGATGGTGGTAAGGCTTTTGAAAATGTGCACACTTGTAACTCCAGCCATGACTTCCATACACCTGTTATAGTTGGGCTTGTCATGGTTTGAGTGTAACATTACATATCTAACATTTGGATTACCTACCCAGAGGTAGTGATGACAGTGTTTGTTGGGTATACTCGCTAGCCCCGCCCACATCTCGGACGCCAGGTGGGGTGCCAGAGGTGCCATCATCACCACCAGGTCACACAGACCACGCTCAAACTGGACGCTGTGTCGCATCAGGGTGGGCTGGGTTTTCTGAGGAAGTTCAATGCAGAGATGTAACATGATTTCCTTTCTGTCTAAAACATTAAAATCATGCAAAAGTTTACACGAAAGACTTCAAATGCCTAATTTGTTGTGGCCGACAATTTAACCTTCTGGAATAGCAGATGATATGAGATGAAGTATTGGATATGAAAATATTTCATATGATGAAGTATTTCATATGATGTGAAGTATTTGATATGAGAAGTATTTCATATGATGTGAAGTATTTGATATGAGAAGTATTTCATATGATGTGAAGTATTTGATATGAGGATTATGGTACCATATGATAAAACATTTGTTATGAGATAAAGCATATTAAATGAGTTGACACAATTGATACGGCATACGTGATTAAGCTTTTGAGTTTGCATGAACTATATAATTAAAATATTTATACCTGATACAGCACTTAATGTGATTAAGCATTTGATTTCAAAAGAGATGACATGATTTGAGATTCGTGTTACACATTAATTGATTGGTAACCTATTCTCTTGTTAGATATGTTTTTCAACCTTTACTTGCACAGTTAATGTTGCATTTAAGAATCCAAGATGTGACACCACATGTTTGTTTGTTGTTTAACGCTGCACTCAGCAATATTCCAGCTAAATGATGATGGTCTAAACAATCGAGTCTGGACCAGGATATTCAGTGATCAACATCATGATGACATGTCTGAAACAAGTCAGCGAGCCTGACCACACGATCCCGTTAGTTGCCTCTTACGACAAGCAGGGGTTACTGAAGATCAATTCTCCCCCGGATCTTCACGGGTCTGAGCAGATATGAGCTGAAACATGACCCCACAGATAGGCCAGGGCTGCCTACTCTTTTTGGGGTATAGAGAGACATGGATGTTTGGATATTAGAAAAGGTGCGACATTTCAGTGTTTTAATCAGAACTTTATAATAGTTAGGGTTACATGGAGCAAAACAGAGCATCAGAAAACTGTTATTGTGGAGGTACTGACTTTGAGGGCATTAGTCAGGCCCTGAAGACGAGATATTGCAGCATTCAGAAGAAAGGTCTTCCCCATATGGAAGCTGACCTGAAACAAAGTGTTAGAGTAACTGTTATAGAACACTGAGGAAGTTACAGCTGTATCAAAGGTGTGTGTGTGTGTGTGTGTGTGTGTGTGTGTGTAAGTGTTGAATAATTAAGTCTTGATTTGATGAGCCAGTACAATGTGAGCAATAATCTACACAGTCAACGTACAACGTACCATGAAATCTGTCATACAGCCTGACCAGTCAGATCCACTGTGACATCTAATGACCAGTAATGGGTTTTGGGAACTTATTCTAACCCACTGAATGAGAGGAATGTGATGGTGGTGCTGTTGTCAGATAAAGAGGAGAAGTCTGACGTAGCTACCTGTAAGACTGGTGACACTGTTGTGATGAAGTATATGTCTTATCTCTTCTGGATGCTTTTACTTTACATGCCAATGACCTTTGTTTTGATTCACCAAGTGGGTAAAATGTTATGACGCCATTTCTGATTTCACTCGCCATGATATTTGCTGGAATGTTGCAAATCCACATTCATTGACTCATTATTCTCACTTCTACTGACACCCATATTTGACAAAGTGAATGTGCGTCAAGTCTTATACCATTTTAGGGTTTTCCCTTTATCTTTCCTTCATGTAAAATATTTTTTACCTCCCAAGAGGGTGACAACTGGAAAAAATATTACCCGCTGCCACGGTAACGGCCAAACTCTCTGCTGAGAAGCTGTATCGCTAACAATCATATGACGTCATAATATGACGCATGCAGAGTTGAAAACCATTCGATTAGCTGTTTTTGAGTTCACTATATACGCCTTTTTGTAGCAGTGTCATCCCTCGCCTACCGGCTCAGGTGACACTGCTACAAAGAGGCATACATCAGACCATATTACACTCGAGAGAAGCATAAAACTCATTGTGTTATTACACCACGCACACCCAAAAAGGCTTGACATATTGTGATCATGTGGGAAATTAAACCTATGCAATCAGCAGGATGGGCTGATGCTTGGAACTAACCACCCATCAGAGCAACTGCCAAAGACAGGAAGACTTTGGGTCTCAAAGTCTCTTCTGAAGGAGAAATATGGTACTTAATCCATATCACTTTACCTCTTTCAGGAAGTAATTCCTGTTCTCAAACATAAACGTGTTCACTTTATCGATGTCCTCTTGTGACGGTTTATTGGAGTTATCTCCCCTGCACTGTTCTATCAGGTCAGCTACAAGGGCCCACATTCTGCCCTGCCAGTGGAGGATTCCCTTGAACTCTGGGGACAAGACAACACGCTATGAAGCAGGCTTACCACAACAAAAGTTGGGCAGCAAGTACTGGGGTTTATCTTGACCTACTCAGATATTATGCCCAAAGCCTTCAACAAATATATGAAAAACAGTAACATAATTATGTAATTTTTATGATAAAATTGATATTTCATACTTATCCTGACTCATACTTATTGCATATCTCCCTTTCCCTCCGAAGGTTGAGTGGAAACCTCCCAACTGTCCCCTTTCACCACTAACTGGCTTCCCTGTAAGCCTAGTAGGGGCAGATTTCGGAGAGAGTGACAATATGGCCGCCGGTCACATGGGACGTAATGGTGGGAAGGAGGCAGAGAGGCCCTGTTGGGGTGAGTAGGTTTTTGACTATTCTTGGGAACATAAGGACAGAGGTTTCCACTCAACCTTCGGAGGGAAAGGGACATAAGCAATAAAAGATCTCACTGAATGTTGCACCACTGATCTTGAACTTTAAATAAGTCATGCCTCCTTAATAATAACAATGAACTGAAGAAACAAGTATCTCAGAAGTTCAAACATTTCTGAATTCATCCTAGAGTACCATGGTACTTGTGACCTTGTACCTTCGTTGGACCACTTCCTGTTTGACTGTGGGGCAACGTTGGACAGGATACACAGGCGGGTGGAGTCAATCCCGAACTCAGACATCACTTCCTGTAACAACAGCTTACTTTAAATACTGACAGATGAGATTTTTTAAAATTCTTTCCGATTTGCTGCTGCTCCAACAAATAATCTCAAAAACACTGTATTGTTATTCACCTCATAAGAACATTTGTGCACAAAACTCCCAGACCATGTTCAAAAAAAACATAGAAAGGTGTTCTAAAAACAAAATCTAAATGGCCTTTTAAAAATTTTCTATGTCTTTTAGATCTGTGGTACTAACAGATATTTTGAACCCCATTTTGTTAAAATCAAGACATGTAAAAAATCAGAAACAAAATCTGGCCTTATGACCCTTACATAATTCTTCAAATATCAAGATGTGTCTGAAAATGAAGATATTCTCTGGACAAGGTAAGATTAGGCCCATATCATCTGGTAGTTTAAAAAACATTCACTGATTGCTATATGAAATAAAGGTCTGAACAACTGATATAAACCACTCAAAAGAGGGCACACAACACCCAATCCTTTACTTTCACTGCAGTTAGTCCGTCATAACCAAATATCCTCAGCAAGTTTATGTTATTTGGAACTTTTATCAGCTCATCTCGATACATTTCATCCATAAACCCACTCAGGTGTAATTCTCCATGTATCATGACACGTCAGTGTGGGGGAGGAAGTCAAATGTTTAGCAGGTTGTACATGCTTACCACTTCTGGGAAATCCAGATTGATGTTGACGACCAAAGACAAAAGATTTGAGTTAACACACAACTTGTCACAATGTTGTATTTCAAATGCCCTCAAAACAGATACAGACATCTATACAATGGAAATACTTACAGGGTTCCCTGCAGAGTATTTACTGCACTGAACATTTCAAGCAGAAAGACGTGATCAATTACCATTCAAGGGAGATAACCTAAACACATTTAACATCTCACTTGAACGCTCATGCAACTATCACCACATCGATATATGGTTGAGTGTTGTACTGAAGTAAGTGGAGATTCAACAGTTTGCTACCTAACTTTACTCTCAACATTTCTGCTATATGATCCTGATTGTTGACAAAATTTAAGGCACTCAGCAATATTTCTGCTACATGACAGTTTTCAGTGATTGTTGACAACTTTATCACCACACTCAGCATAATATTTCTGCTACATGACAGTGATCAGTGATTGTTGACAATTTATCACCACACTCAGCAATATTTCTGCTATATGACAGTGATCAGTGATTGTTGACAATTTATCACCAAACTCAACAATATTTCTGCTATATGACGGTATCAAGTGATTGTTGACAATTTTCAAACACTCAGCAATATTTCTGCTTTTACATGACAGTGATCACTGATTGTTGACAATTTATCACCACACTCAGCAATATTTTGAGTGTTGTACATGACAGTGATCAGAGATTCAACAATTTATCACCACACTCAGCAATATTTCTGCTATATGACAGTGATCAGTGATTGTTGACAATTTATCACCACACTCAGCAATATTTCTGCTATTTGACAGTGATCAGTGATTGTTGACAGTTTATCACCACACTCAGCAATATTTCTGCTATTTGACAGTGATCAGTGATTGTTGACAATTTATCACCACACTCAGCAATATTTCTGCTATTTGACAGTGATCAGTGATTGTTGACAATTTATCACCACACTCTGCTAGCAATATTTCTGCTACATGACAGTGATCAGTGATTGTTGACAATTTATCACCACACTCAGCAATATTTCTGCTACATGACAGTGATCAGTGATTGTTGACAATTTATCACCACACTCAGCAATATTTCTGCTATTTGACAGTGATCAGTGATTGTTGACAATTTATCACCACACTCAGCAATATTTCTGCTATTTGACAGTGATCAGTGATTGTTGACAATTTATCACCACACTCAGCAATATTTCTGCTATTTGACAGTGATCAGTGATTGTTGACAATTTATCACCACACTCAGCAATATTTCTGCTACATGACAGTGATCAGTGATTGTTGACAATTTATCACCACACTCAGCAATATTCTGCTACATGACAGTGATCAGTGATTGTTGACAATTTATCACCACACTCAGCAATATTTCTGCTACATGACAGTGATCAGTGATTGTTGACAATTTATCACCACACTCAGCAATATTTCTGCTACATGACAGTGATCAGTGATTGTTGACAATTTATCACCACTCAGCAATATTCCAGCTACATGACAGTGAATTGCCCGACAATTTATCATCAGGGCAGCAATATTCCAGTTTCATCACTCTCGTTGAGTGCTAAGATAGTTTCAAGCTCTCTTAGTGCTAAGATAGTCATACATTAACATTAACTTAACTTACAACTATCTTAAGCCAAGAGAGCTTCGAAAATCTAGGCCCTGTTCTGGACCTGACAGGCCAATGGAGGATTCGGGCAACGTCCCATGCTGTTGATGACCGATGGCCCGCAGTCAACCAAGTCACGGAGTCTGACCACCAGATGAAGTCAGCAACGAACAAGCTTAGCTTTCTGGCGACCAAGTCTACACCGATAGAGATCCACAGGGTTCAAGGTCATCTTTATTTGTGGCTGTAGTTTCAGAAGTAACACGAGGAAAGGTTTTAGACCCGATTTTCTCCTGCCATGATCTCACCTGAGGGTCGACCCCATTGTGCTTGGACTTGCTCATCTTCTCCCAGTCGACCACCACCTGGTTCCCGGTCTCCTTCTCCACCGGCTTGCTGCCTGTAGAGGACACGACAATACATAACTGTAGTGCAGCCTCAGTACATCACTGTATTCACTGTTCCTCCATCACCCATGTATACATATTTTGTTGCAAAATGCCGCACTCAGTTAACCCCATGGCTACCAAACCACCCGATGCCTATGTTCATACATGCCAATGCAGACCCACCTAGTGGCTGGTGGATGGTGTATACAAACCTGTGCAGTACTGAGTGAGTGAGTGAGTTTAGTTTTACGCCGCTTTTAGCAATATTCCAGCAATATCATGGCGGGGAGACACCAGAAACGGGCTTCACACATTGTGCTCATCATGTGGGGAATCGAACCCTCGATCTTCAGCGTGACGAAAATCAAACGCTTTAACCACTAGGCTACCCCCAAATTAGAGTGGTTGGCATCTGCCCCTGTGCAGTACTGACTATGAATGTTCTTTAATTCAAGGACTTCTTGAGGGATTTTCAAAAATTGCGTTACTACTAATATCTCCACTGTCTATTCTTCATGTAGCCTGATACCGTATACATTTTCATGACAAACAAGGCTGTGAATTACCTGAGAAGTCTACGTCCTTCGGCTGTATATACCGGCCAGTGCCCTTGACCCTGAAGGTCTGTCCCATCACCATACCCTGGGTCAGCAGGTTGATGAAGGGTTCACGCTGAGGCACAAGGTCAAGGCTGTGCAGGAAGTGGTTGAAGAATCGAGCAAAGTACAGATGTAGGACAGCTGCAAGAACACAGATATATTCACACATATTCATTAAAGAAATGTTCATTATTTAATTGAAATATTCCAAGAACTCTCAGCCACATAAACCTTACAAATATTTCTGAAAATTAAAGCCATGTATTACTTATAAACAGATGCTTCAGGTTTTACAGGGTGTCAACATGGTTGGTTGTATTGGGTATTCCAGAAAACTGACTGACTGACTGAGTTTGGTTTTATGCCGCTTTTAGCAATATTCCAGCAACATCACGGCGGGGGACACAAGAAATGGGCTTCACACATTGTGCCCATGTGGGGATTCGAACCCGGGTCTTCGGCGTGACGAGCCAACGCTTTAGCCATTAGGCTACCCCACCGCCCCTTATTCCAGAAAAAGACAGGAGACTTATATTTTTACTGAAAAGACGACTTCAGGTGATACAATGTTCCTGGACCCACAATCAGGTGGTCAGGCTCGCTGACTTGGTTGACACATGTCATCGGTTCCCAATTGCTCAGATCGATGCTCGTGCTGTTGATCACTGGATTGTCTGATCCAGACTTGATTATTTATAGACCGCCGCCATATAGATGGAATGTTGCTGAGTGCGGCATAAAACTAAACTCACTCACTCACTCATTTCTGGACCCACAACACATTTTTTTTTTAATGAAAAATTACACTCTTCTACTCACCATGTTCCTTGCCTCCAATGTAGAGGTCGACTGGCATGTAGTGATGTGCCAAGTCTTGTCTAAACGGCTCCTTTGTGTTGTGGTAGTCAAGGAAACGCACAAAGTACCAGGAAGAGTCCACAAATGTATCCATTGTGTCCGTTTCACGTCGGGCAGGGCCTCCACACCTAGTGACCACAAGTCTCTTATAATTTAACTTATAACTCTGAGGCAAACTTTATTTAGGCATAGAGTTTTGTCACTTACAAAAAATGAACGGCTTTCAGAAACGCAACCATCTTACCTAAAAAACACCTTGCATCCAAACAAAACACGTACTTACTTTGGGCAGTTAACACTTCCCCATTCTTCATCACTTGCGAGAGGCGACGCCCCCCTGCCGGTCAGCTGAGTGATCACTGGGAGCTCCACAGGAAGGTCAGACTTGGGAACTGGTACTGCCTGGAATAAGGAGGGATAGTACAATATATCAGTAACTATAACCTGACTCTCTACAGGGATCACCATCATCATGATCATCATAAAGCGTCCAGTATGTTTTTTCTCTATCATCCCCAACCTACAACTGGATATCATTATTAGTATGGGGGTAGTAGACTCATAACAGCTGGACAATCTTATTACATGGGGGTGTTGTAGTCTCACCTTACAGCTGGAACAATGATTATCATATGGGGGTGTTGTAGTAGACTCACCTTACAGGTGGAACAGTATTATTAGTATGGGGTGTTGTAGTAGACTCACCTTACAGTTGGGACAGTGTATTATTGGTATGGGGGTGTTGTAGTAGACTCACCTTACAGCTGGGACAGTGTATTATTGGTATGGGGGTGTTGTAGTAGACTCACCTTACAGCTGGGACAGTGTATTATTGGTATGGGGGTGTTGTAGTAGACTCACCTTACAGCTGGACAGTGTATTATTGGTATGGGGGTGTTGTAGTAGACTCACCTTACAGCTGGGACAGTGTATTATTGGTATGGGGGTGTTGTAGTAGACTCACCTTACAGCTGGGACAGTGTATTATTGGTATGGGGTGTGTTGTAGTAGACTCACCTTACAGCTGGGACAGTGTATTATTGGTATGGGGGTGTTGTAGTACTCACCTTACAGCTGGAACAGTGTATTATTGGTATGGGGTGTGTTGTAGTAGACTCACCTTACAGCTGGGACAGTGTATTATTGGTATGGGGGTGTTGTAGTACTCACCTTACAGCTGGGACAGTGTATTATTGGTATGGGGTGTGTTGTAGTAGACTCACCTTACAGCTGGGACAGTGTATTATTGGTATGGGGGTGTTGTAGTACTCACCTTACAGCTGGAACAGTGTATTATTGGTATGGGGTGTGTTGTAGTAGACTCACCTTACAGCTGGGACAGTGTATTATTGGTATGGGGGTGTTGTAGACTCACTCACCTTACAGCTGGCTGGACAGTGTATTATTGGTATGGGGGTGTTGTAGTAGACTCACCTTACAGCTGGGACAGTGTATTATTGGTATGGGGGTGTTGTAGTAGACTCACCTTACAGCTGGGACAGTGTATTATTGGTATGGGGGTGTTGTAGTAGACTCACCTTACAGCTGGAACAGTGTATTATTGGTATGGGGGTGTTGTAGTAGACTCACCTTACAGCTGGAACAGTGTATTATTGGTATGGGGGTGTTGTAGTAGACTCACCTTACAGCTGGGATACAGTGTATTATTGGTATGGGGGTGTTGTAGTAGACTCACCTTACAGCTGGGACAGTGTATTATTGGTATGGGGGTGTTGTAGTAGACTCACCTTACAGCTGGGACAGTGTATTATTGGTATGGGGGTTCCCCAGTACCTCTGTCGTGAGATGAGCCAGTCCCTCAAACGTGAGCTGACAGCATGGCCACCAACACCAAGCGTCTACACCAGCAACAAAACAAATTAGGTGAAAATACTGAATACCATATTTATACAAAACATACAAGCATTGGAATTAACTGTCAAAATAAATTTTGAATTAAAGACACAATTTGGGAACAAATAGACAAGAAATGAATGCAATCTGCATGCATTTATGCCTGACTTTAATCTTTCAATGGTACATTTGTCATTATAACTTTAAACTAAAGTAAGTGTAGTAGGGAAGATATATTTTTAATGCGACATGATTTATATATCTGAAGATCATACATCGCAGTATTTACTTCCCCCTCCAATATAGAATCCAGCACGCTTGAGTACCATCATGCACGTATGGACCAAACAGGACATAGCTGTTTCCATGATACAGTTTAGTATTGCAGACCATCTTGAAACCAATCACCCACTCTCACCCCATCACAAACATGATCTTACCTTGGCATGCTCCATAATGGCCTTTCTTGCTTCACCAGCCGTCAGACCTGAAAACTTTAACAAAATCAAAGTCAGACTTGGATGAGGATTTATAAAATATGACAGAGATGCATCTTATGGACTATTTGTTTGTGGACACATTCAGCAGTATGTCACATTTATGACAATGTATCGTAAATAATAGTGTCTGGAGACTGTTATTAGGGTATGTTGGCAGACTATCAGCTAAAGTCATTGGATGTGATGACCTGATCCATTACATCACTTCTCGCTGCCACCACAGGTTGCTGGGGACCCATACCTGTCAGTGAGTGAGGCCATAGTAATGTGTGACACTGCTTATAGGTTGCTGGGGACCCATGGTTAAAGCATTGTCTTTCCCAGTTCGAGTCCCCACATGGCCATGTGTGAAGTATTTCTGGTGTCCCCCATTGATGTTGCTGGAATGCTACACTGCTTATATAGCAATGTTCCAGAAGTATCATGGCAGGGGACACGTGAAATGTGAAAACCTGGGGCTTCAACATGTCCACCGAAAGGATGGACCATGTGCTCTAGGCCTCTGTTAAGTATTTGAATTCATGGAATTTAGATTTTAGGTAACTTCTTTGAGTGGCATTTAGAAGCTGGTGTGATGAACAACAGGAAGAGTTCTATGGATATACAACTTCTGTAATATAATATGAGCACTTGCATGATAACAGTGTTGTAGCTACACTGAAACGTTGCTCATATTAATAATAAAGAAGTGGTAGATCCGTAGAACTCTCCCCGTTGTTCAAGACATTAGATAGTTACGTTACATACGTCAATGTGTTAACTCTACACATACCTCCTGTGAGTTGACAATAGTTCCTTGTGTATCATCAGACACAGGCGTCCACTCAAACCCCAGGCTGCCAGCTACTTGCTGGTCCACCTCACTCTTACTGGGAATACCTGGTGGAGTGAGTGAGGGAGGGAGTTATAAATAGTATGTCAGACATATCACGGGATGTCAACATAATGTGGGAGGAAGCAGAGACTCTTTCCACAAACCCATATTGGCACTGAGGTGACGATCGCAAACATGACAACTTAATGTGGCGGGAAAGTGATCACAAGCCATTGTTGAGCACATGACTTTATAAGGGTTATTTTTCTTTATAGGATCACCCAGATGTGTCACTGTACGCATCCCTCACCTATATGTGTATCGTTGAACTCATTGTACTGTACAGGATCACCCAGGTGTGTCACTGTACGCATCCCTCACCTATATGTGTATCGTTGAACTCATTGTACTGTACAGGATCACCCAGATGTGTGTCACTGTACGCATCCCTCACCTATATGTGTAGATGTGTGTCGTCCCTCACCTATGTGTATCGTTGAACTCATTGTACTGTACAGGATCACCCAGATGTGTGTCACTGTACGCATCCCTCACCTATATGTGTATCGTTGAACTCATTGTACTGTACAGGATCACCCAGATGTGTGTCACTGTACGCATCCCTCACCTATATGTGTATCGTTGAACTCATCGTACTGTACAGCGTCTGAGACAACAACGGGAAGCTCCTCGCCAGTCAGTGGGTGGACTGCGCGAAGTCTTGTAACTATGGTAACACCTGGAAAAGATATGGATTTATTGGAAATCATTACATTTTTTAACAGAAATAAGTTACATATTTCATTCAAAGTGAGCGAAAATTGATTTACAAAGTGGTAAGCAACAAAACAGTCGCATGAGTGAGTGAGTGAGTTAGTTGGGTTTTACTCAGCTTGTAGCAATATTCCAGCAATATTACGGTGGGGGACGCCACAAATGGGCTTCACACATTGTACCCATGTGAGGAATCGAACCTGGGCCTTTGGTGTGACGAGCGAACGCTTTAACCATCAGGCTACCCCACCACCCCTACAGATGCATGATGCATGCTCAAGGGAAAATATTTGGTCCCTGGGAACAACTAATGGTCATACCTGATCACATAGTCAACACAGGTCGTGATTATCTGTCAAACATCCAGCAGAAATACTCACTCTCATCCTTTGGGTTTCCATGTTCCTGTAAATGAACAATACATTATATGTCACACACTTAGATCTTCCAGGACATTGTCAGTTTACAGTATCTACTAGATATGACCTGATGAGCGAATATTGTTTTATACCTTCAACAAAATGCCAGCAATATTGTTGAACAAAACCCATGTGTGGAATTGAACCCAGTTCTCCATTGTGACAGACTAACTCTTTGCTCAGAAATATCAAGAAGAGATAAAGGTTGTATTCTCTGACAACAAATCATGTGTTTTATATTTACCATAGCAGCCTCAAACAATTTTCTCTCACTATCCTGAAAATCATTGCATGAGGACAATGGCACGGCACCTTTACAAATTTCAGTATCTACTGTCACATATCTCCCATCTACACACCCCATCACCTGCTAGTCAGCATACCTGGCAGTACTGTGGGCTGTTGAACCTGTGTTCTGGGGAGAGACAGATGTGGGATGCTCCGTACACCAGCTCGGGGCTGTCTGTGAACACAGACAGGGGCTCGGGGAGCTCCTCCCCTTCAAGCTGTGACAGAAGGTCAAGGTCATATATCAGAACAATGGCAAACTTATAACGAAGGGCATCCATTTTTATGTGTTATGTTTAATGGATTAGAACTATTTAATTGTATATAATTTCATGATATAAGCCTGCTTATTCAACATTTTCATAAGCTTCATTTCTTTTTGAATATTCATTAATAAACTAAAACCATAACATTTGCATGTTTGTGAATGTGAGAGCAGTTATATAGAATATAACCCGCTTCTGACCTTGAGTTTGAAGTCAAAGCGACAGCCATTGCACTCTCCGATCCAGTGTCTCTGGAGCTGGACCACATCCTTCCACAGGACCTTGTTGACTTCCTCCAGGCCGTCCCATAGACTCTACACAAATACGGATAACACTGCCCCATAGACTCTACACAAACACAGACAACACTGCCCCATAGACTCTACACCCTATAGACTCTACACAAAAACACAGACAACATTCCCCTATAGACTCTACATAAACACAGATAACACTGCCCCATAGACTCTACACAAACACAGACAACACTGCCCCATAGACTCTACACAAAACACAGACAACATTCCCCTATAGACTCTACACAAACACAGACAACATTCCCCTATAGACTCTACACCAACACAGACAACACTGCCCCATAGACTCTACACAAACACAGACAACACTGCCCCATAGACTCTACACAAACACAGACAACACTGCCCCATAGACTCTACACAAACACAGACAACATTCCCCCTATAGACTCTACATAAACACAGACAACACTGCCCCATAGACTCTACACAAACACAGACAACACTGCCCCATAGGACTCTACACAAACACAGACAACATTCCCCTATAGACTCTACACAAACACAGACAACATTCCCCTATAGACTCTACATAAACACAGACAACACTGCCCCATAGACTCTACACGATAACACTGCCCCATACACTCTACACACACATTGATAACACTGCCCCATAGACTCTACACAAACACGGATAACACTGCCCCATAGACTCTACACAAACATGGATAACACTGCCCCATAGACTCTACACAAACACAGATAACACCATCACATAGACTCTACACAACAAAACAATGATAACATCATCCCAAAGACTCTACAACATACAGTGACCTGCATATAAAGGTGCATGAGGACAGCGCAACAGGTGTTCTGGCGTTATCACTTAAGGCACCTGCCACAGGTTTGACAAACTACACCTGTAGGTCTAACCAGAGACCATCTCTATTACTAGTATATGGTCTCTGGTCTAAACAGTACTTCACCACAAGAAGAGAACAGTTAAAACCATAACACCAACGTAGCTTCTAGCATTGAGGCATGGCAACAAGTGTTACAAAGATTCCACAAATAATGTTAGCATACCCTTATCAATGTATATGGATTAACAAGGTGTGCTGTAATTTTTCAAAAACATTTTTAATGACAAGCTACTAAAACTGTGGCAACAGAGGTTGTACATAGATATACCATCACTTGTAAACAGCAGTTTGCTTCCACTGTACATTTATTTCATAAGCAAGGACAAATCCTTTTCGGGATTAACTTTACAAAGGTCCACCCAAAAAGATTTTTCACATTCTTGATCATGAGGAATGTAATGAAAAGTTCTGAAGTTCTGAAAACACGTCGGCAGTGATTTCCTGGTGTACCTGAGCATATGCCGTCGTGCGGATGTACCACTGTCGGAGGTATCGCTTCTCCACCTTCGCTCCAGATCGCCATGAAATCCCTGCATCACTGATCTGCTCATCTGCCAGCACAGTCTGGTCCACGGGGTCCCAGTTAACTTCAGCCTTGACACATACGAGAGGAATTATAAAGACATCAAATGACTTTGGTTTTTTTATCAAAATGTTCTAGCCACATCACGGCGGGGGACACCAGAATACAGTCATTTAGGCTCAGCAGGTTCAGAAAATTAATCCTTTGGGATCAGAAGCTTCCGACAAAGTATTGCTTAGACTTAGGAGGATCACGGCTGATGAGGACACGAGCAACATACGGAAGTTTCTTGATAATAGTTGGATAATGTTCTGTAGCTTCAATCAGCTCAATTGCAGCAGACTGTATTTGAGACAAATTGAATAAAACGGTTTAAAATTTTCATTTTAATCATTACAAATGAGGTTTGGTCATTGTGGCATCTTACATCTTTCTGATAAACCAGTCCAGCTTCAAACATCTTCAGGAACAAGTACTGTGTCCAGCGGTAATACTGGGGATGGCAAGTTGCCAACTCCTAGAAAATAATAAAGCCACTTTAAAAGAGACTGCATTCCTTGGCCTTGTGCCACAAAGCAGTCTTAGCACTTTGACTGTCCTAATGCCATATACATGGAGTGAGTGAGTGAGTGAGTGAGTGAGTGAGTGAGTGAGTGAGTGAGTGAGTGTGTGTGTGTGAGTGAGTGAGTGAGTGAGTGAGTTGGGTTTCACACCACTTTTCGCAATATTTCAGCAAAATCATGGTGGGGGACACCAGAAATGGGCTTCACACATTGTACCCATGTGGGGAATCAAACTTCAGCATGACAAGCGAACGCTTTAACCACTTGGCTACCCCACCGCCCCGTGAGTTAGTCTTAGAACATAAATCACTTTGTGGACAGGTCCTGAGACAAAATCAGAGTAAAGGATCATGTGAAGTGAGCTAGTTGGGTCCAGTCCACTTTGAGGTGTATTTCAGTCATATCATGGCGTGTCAACTCAACATGGGCACAGTGGAAGGAAACCTCAAGTGATGATGATAACGGACATTTGACCCCAAAACACTGGTATGTTGTTGGCAAAACAGGTGACCCACATCCAAAGTGTGACTAAATATATAGATGGAGATTGCACACTGGTAGAGAATCTGAAGCAACATTACCCGCTCCCATCTGAAGCAACATTACCCGCTCCCAGTCGAAACTGCATCCCAGTTCATCCAGCTGTTTCTTGGTGCTTTCAATATTGCTGAAACGAAAACACGACTTGATCAGATATTTGAAAAATATGACAATCAAGGATTGCCCAATTAAGTGCCACTTCTCGACAATATTCCTTCAGCCCTCCTTGAAATAATGAGATAATCAGTTCCTAAATAATGATCACATTCATAAAGATATTTCACCGCAACATGCTTAACGAATCTAAGATCGTTAATGAAGCTTGAGCTGATAGCACTTCTGTTCAATATTTGGTAAATTTGTGTCTCTATGTTGATGGCCAAATAAACAAGAGTTGTCTACCCTTACCCATAGGTCCACACATCCGGCCTTTCCCCTCTTTCTATGGCAGCATTTTCAGCAGGCAGGCCAAACGCATCCCACCCCATAGGGTGGATCACCTGAAGAAGTGGACAGGCAAAACATGCGACAATCAATCAACAAATGGTATGCAGACTTGGCTGGGGCTTGAAAATCCTTTGAAAGACATTCCAGATTTGTCATAGCATATTTGGACCCGTGAAGGTCCGAGTTAGAATATTGATCTTCAGTAACCAATGCTTGTCGTAAGAGGCGACTAACGGGATCGGGTGGTCAGGCTCGCTGACTTGGTTGACACATCATCTGTTCCCAATTGGCCAGATTGATGCTCATGCTGTTGATCACTGGATTGTCTGGTCCAGACTTGATTATTTACAGACTGCTGCCATATACAATGTACCTCTAATAATGCTGAATGCAGCGTAAAACTAAACTCACTCACTCACTCATGGCATATTTGGCACTGACTTCACGTGGCCTTTCCTATGTTTACATTTTGACTCAATATCAGCAGATCCTGTTTCAGAAAGGGATACAACTCTCATTAAGTCATGTTGGACAAATTGGACTGCCAGGTCCCTGGTTATTATGTTTGCATATAGGTCATCTCTTGATTTATCAGTACGGCTCTTGGTATTAACACATTCAAAAGGTACACCACATTATATTACTGTTGGGTGTCATAAAATCCAACTCACTCATTCACAACAAAATAGTACATGATGTATGATATACATGTATTTAATATGAAAAGTTAGTATAAATAAACAAAAACTGCTTGTTTACAGAGGTGACTAGGGTTAAGTCATGACAATCAGATGTTAATAATGGAATGTGAGTCTCCCACCTACCTCCTTGCCTGTGAGCCTGTGGTATCTGGCCATGACGTCGCTGATGGTGTACACTCGGACATGACCCATGTGCAGCTTACCACTTGGGTACGGGAACATAGACAGGACATACTGCTTTGGTCGATCAGTCTGATAAAGAAAATAAATTTTTGAATGCAAGACCATGAATATAAACATATTTCATTATGACAAAATGTAATGCTTACTCACCTTGTTCACATATGAAAACTTTCAAAATTTCTAAAATTGACACTCACACCAACCCTATTAATGGTTAACAGAAATCCAAATAAGTTTTTAGCAAATAGAAGTCTAAACAGTTGCACCTGCTTTTTTATTAAAAAATGCACACAGGACACATTGAAACTTGAAGGTGTTTGTCAGCTGAAGCATAATTCTGACAGGAGTCAGGAACTAGTGTCAAATATGCCTTGCCTCTGTGTCATATGAATAACTCACCTTTATATGATCTTGTTTCAAATGTTTTGATGAATTTTGTTGGTTCAGTATTGGATGCCAGTGTGACTCCACAGCTTGACGGACATCTAGATTGAATGCTTTTTCCTGCCGAGTAATGAATATCAGTATGTATACAATATACTTGTAACCTCTGCATGTAAACGTGATAGTTGTCATGCTGAGATACCCTCACTGTAGACAATATACACTGCTTGAAGTCAAAAGTTTGTTATGTTGGGAAATATGAAGAATAGATATTTATTACCCTTAAGATAAATTTTTCAAATTCTAATTGGTCGATAGTCAAAGCATACCAAACCATGTAGGTGGATTGCCAGGGTGTACGAACCGTACACCCCGTCAAAGCTGTCATGTGACACACTACACAGATTGTATGAATGACCTTGACCTTAGATGGAATGTGGCTGCCAAACAGCTGATAGCTTCGAAATTTTAGAGTTGGCGTATACAATTATGAGTATAAACAGAGTAATAAAATTGTTGCCATAATTTCTTATTTGTTGGTGTCAATAAATATATCAAAAATAAAATGTTTCTGTATTTCACGTGTCATTTAACATAACCTCAAATTCAATAATTTTTATCATAAACTAAGCCATCCCGAGTTATCTCCCTTTATGACCGTTCAGGAAAACTCAAGGCGAAAGGTTTTGTATCTCATTCTGCCGATGATTGAATGTTGTTGTTTAAAGATAAGCTAAATAAAAGATCTTAAAGGTAATAAATTCGCAAACAAGGTCTGATTTTAATGGATGTAAAGTATTTGGTCATACTGACAATGACAATCAGTGACAATAGGTTGTAATATCAATAGATACCCACCCATTGTCCGGTTTTACTGAAGATGCTGCGACAAGAGTTACTATAGTTGATCTTTAATCTCAAATATTTCAAAGTACTCCATGTCAGTGTCTTTGAAGACATCATCTTGTTTTCCTAAATATATGAAAGAAATAAACAAGTCAGTGGGGTTGTAGCACACGTATATATAAACACACACTCACACTTAACATATTTTGTGGTATTTTACCATTGTTGTACATCAATCTGTATAAGACAAATAACTGAAAAGTTACCTAACCACTACTATTGACCTATGATTCAAAAACAGACATACTCATCACCTACCACTCATCATCATTTTGTTTATGTTATTTCTGATATATTCTGTGTTCAAAGTGCAAATTACTATGCAAACATGGCCTTTTTTCAGTCCATGGAGAAAGCTTGTGTCAATTTCTGTTGGAATGCTCCATGAGGGAATAAGAATAGATGTAAACAGGACTCTCTCATGAACTACATCAGTTTTCACTATCCTCTTAACACCATGCACTATGTTTTCATGTGCACCTCTTCAGCTATACAAATGAATTGCTCTATCTCCTGTATCACATTCAGATATTTTCCTCATTCTAAAAATAAGACATTAATGCATCTAGCATTTTGTTATTTGCTTTGAATTTAAAACAATATTCCAAAATTTTGATCTTGCCCATGGCATTCTGTATTATGTGGTACAATGGATTTTACTACATATTCAAGTGGCACCAACAGTCAATTGTCTAAATATTTTTGTGGTTTCTTTTTCCATAAAAGCGAATGTATGTTCGCAACATATTTTTGTGTTTTCGAGCATAGATAAAAAAAAGTGGGTACAGTTCACTCGGTCATGACATGCTCAGCCCTGAGCGATGTCTGAAACACAGATAAGGTTGGTGACAGTCTGATGGATGGTGGTATGCCGCTCCACATGATGATTGTTCCAGGGAGGAAGCTTTGTAGGAAGAGTTCTGATTTCCCTCTTATTTGTGCAATGTTGTTATTAGATGATCCTCTTGTACGGGAGTCAACTCCGTGAATGTACTTATGTAGGTCGGTAACGATGATGTTATTTATAACCTTGTAAAAAAAGGTGGCTCTGGCCCTAGCTCTCCTGAGTTGAAGGGTTTCCCATCCAAGGTGTTGTAACATTGAAGTGACACATCCTTGATCATAATCTGTGTAGTTGTTGCACACAAATCTGGCTGCTTGCCTCTGTACCCTCTCCAACGTATTTACATGAAGCTGTTGATAAGGGTCACAAACTGTGGAGGCAAATTCCATGATAGGACGGGCTAGGGTGGTATAGGCAAGCTCTAAGGTTGCGCCTCAGGAAACCTACAGTTCTTGTGGTGCTCTGGATATACGTCTTCCAAATGTTGACACCCAGGTATTTTGCGGTATCGACGGTTTGAATCCGTGAAGGTTGTAAGAGTGACGTAATATCTTCCGTTTCTTGGAGATGTGCATGGTTACGCATTTGGATGGATTAAAAGCCATTTGCCATCAACTTTCCCACGTCTGAAGGTTATCCAGGTCCTGCTGCAGTTTGAGACTGTCTGAAGGATTACGTATGTGTCTAAATATGATACAATCGTCAGTGAAAAGTCGTACTTCAGAGTCCACTGAATTAGGTAAGTCATTGATGTAGATCAGAAAGAGTAGAGGGCCAATGACTGTGCCCTGTGGTACACCAGATAGTAAGTCAGCTTCAGAGGATGACATCCCATTGAGAACAACTGTTTGTTTCCTGTTCTTCAAGAAGTCTTTGATCCATAGCAGTATGTTGTTATGGATGCCGTAGTGATGTAACTTAAGTAGTAGCCATTGATGCAGAACTTTATCTAAGGCTTTTGAGAAGTCAAGCAGTACTTATTTGAGTTAAGTTCTTATTTGGTGTTATCAAAATATCAAACAATATTTAATTTTGCTCTCAAAAGTTTCTGACAAATATTTCTATATTCTAATGATAATGAGAAAATGCCCAAGAAGTCACCATCACTTGAGCTACAAGTGAGTCCGGTAATTCTGCACAACTGTAATAGCGTACTTCCGTATCGAAGGTAAACATCGTCTGCTACCACATTTACACTTGAAGTCGGGACATTTCTACAAGGGACTGCTGGCTTTGAATCACTAAAGGTAAGTAAATAACAGTAATTGACAGATAAATTGACAGTTTTATGAAACTTCGTTTTCTTCAGACTTTTAAACCTTTTTCTTCATTATTCCTAATTCATATGAAACACTCTTCCTTACATTGATGAAGCGATTTTTGAAAATAATCTGGCCCTAATACGCTTCCATACTTCGGATCTCCAGCTGGATGTTATACACATCAGTTGCTGCGAAGAAGTACCGGACAGCAAGCGATGTCGACAGAGCACCAGTAAGGTTAACCGTATGGCATAATGCAACGTTAGAATCTTATAGTCGTCAATAAAACTGATATTTCTAGGTAAAGATGATACATACCACAGGGGTGGAAATAACCCATTGCCCGACGCCCGAGTCCAGTGGTTTTTTTCTGTCGGGCAAGCAAATTTGTATATCACACTGTACTGGTGTCCAGTTGACTTTCCAATATTAATTATGTTGTTTATTTAAAAATCAACAAGAAAACGGCCGGTATAGTGGAAAAATTATCAGGGCAAGTGATTTTACATGTGCCACTGTACCAGTGTACACTAGCAATTTTAAAGTTATTTCCACCCCTGATACCATGTTGAGTCACGTAAACCACAAAAAATAAGAGACGTTAGTTGCCGTGTTGCGATCGATGTGCTTAGGAGCGCGGAATTACCGGACGGCATTGTATATCAAGGTGTCCGCTATACTGATAGGTCCATGGTGATAACTGGTTGCTTAGATGCTTGGCTGTAATTGCTTCCTAAGAGTATGAAGCTACTGCAGTCTTAAATTGAATTTGCATTATATTTGGAAAGGACCTCTAGCTTTTTAGGTCATTGAACGGATGTCATTAAATCAATGTCAATTCAATAAATTTCATACACTTTAGCAAACAAAATTTCACCGAATCTCGACAACCCCCGTCCGGTAAAATTCAATCTTGGTCTTATTTTCTATTTTCATGATGCAAATATTACAGCACATTTACTACACACCTACAAAACGCAGGAATAGACAGGGGCTTCATCAAATAAGGACGACAGTTACATGACAGATACAAAACGACGTGATGAAATATCAATCTGTAAAGTCTGCATGCCGAACAACATGGGCGCCGCCATTTTGGTTAGTGCTAAAGTGGGGCGTGGAGTACGTGGATAAGGTATGAGTTGATGTTGTTTTTGCCATGCCTCAAATAATTTTAGTCGCCAATTTCACCAGACTCGATTTTCTCAAGTAAATGGAGTCATTAAATAAACTCTGGTCCATATTTCAAGTTAGAATTAAGATGTTCTTCCAACAGTGTTCCATTGCATAGTTCAAGTTTTGTAATGATGCAAACTAGGCTCCATCTATTGATTCAATAAAGCAAACTTAAAAACAACGCGTTACAACCCGCTAAGAGTGAATAAAAACATTCATAGGTATCGGAAATCGCTGTCCGGAGCTTCAAACTCTACGGCTTGCTCCGTTTAAACGGAACAGAACCAGACTAACTGTTCCCGCGAAAGGTCAAGATCATCGACTGAACAGGAAGTGATGGACAAGACGTAATTGACAGATGATGTAGTAATGTAAACATCATCTCTCCGTGGTGTCAGCTGCTGAGATCACCATAACATTTCAGTGTTTGTTCACAGAATTGTGCGTCGCTGTCAGTTTTCTAAAAGCTTGATAATCAGTTTGTGTAGACGTTCGTGGCTTCTAAATACATTTTACTGTTAGGCTTCAAAATGATCTACGTGTATTGATAAAAGATCACAGGCTCTCATGGGATGCTGTTATTATTCATAATTTGCTAAAATATTTTTAAAAATCAACATTTCAGATACGCTCCCCTAATTAGACCTTTGTACAATGTGTGATATATATAGAATGTGGCCACCCAAATCACATGATGCATCATTTTGGATTTTACTGCAGTAGCATTGCTAATTTGTGGTTACACATATCTTTGTCCAAATATTCCATTAAGTGTATTTTGTAAGTGCTGAATATATGTGCTTTAACATATTTACTTTATGGAGTTTCTATGGACCTGCAATTTGCAAATGTCATTAAATTTACATTTACTTTTTGACTATTCCAGTACTTTATCTGGATATAGGACAGAGGAACACTGACGTAACAGTTCCAATATGTGGTACCTGGTGGCTGCAGATAACCCAGGTAGGTTATGCTGAATGAGTTGTAATTTATTGCAGTAATGATTTATGTATTGTGAAATACCGAAATATAGTGAATCACTCTTTCATGTGTAATTTTGTTATAAACCTGAAGAACAATTGTCCAGATGACTTGGTCTGAAATGGAATGATACATTGGACTTGCCTGAAGAGTCACAGGAAATTTTGTATGCATATTCATCCAACCCCCTTATCACTTATTGTATTTGATTCCCAACACCCTGGTCTTTTGAAGTGGGAGCTCAACAGCTCCATCCTGGAAGGTGTCCAAGTCACATGTTGCAGAATAGTTCAGAACATGGTTCATTTCTTCCAGATCTGAAGTATGTGTTGCTGGTTGGCAGAGAGTACTCCGTAGGACGTAAAGACTGTGATATTCTCCTGACAACTGATCCCACAGTCAGCAGAAAACATTCTGTACTGCAACTGACTCATGCAGAATCTAACCTGGTAATTCAAAGACTTTGTTTCAACAATTATGATAAGGATATTGTTCTTCATTCAGAGTATTGACCTTTATGGGATAGGCCATCATAGGGTCTATTTTTATGAGTTTTATGAAAATAATGTCAGCTTGCATAATTATTTACTTGGAACATTTGTAACCTTTCATACTAAATTTATGTTTTACTCTATATATTTGACAAATCAGTGTCAATATATTTGCAGAAGAATTACACGAACAGTGTGTTATGTTTTTAAGTTCATCTTCCTTGACAGATAAAATACCTCTTATGATACATGATAATTCCAGATTATTTTGGGCTGAAGATTTAGGAAATGGTTAAACATTTGCACATTAAGTATTTCCGTCATTTGTAAACATGGAGCATTATTTTAAAAAACAAGTAGTAATATAATGGGGGTTCTATTACAGGGTACCTTATAGGCTTATTTCGACGTAATTCCGCTCCCAGCGCCTAGTGTAAAATAGTTATTTTCGAGCAGAGACATCATTCGATGTACAGCCGAGCTCGCCAGCCTAGACCCTCATCTCATTTTCGCTAGGGCTACCCATTTTTTCAGCAACTACAAATCAACTACTGACTAGACCTGCCGAGTGGAGTTTCCTTTATTCGGGGTCTCGCTCGGAAATTCCCAACGCGTCTAGGTCTAGTCAGTAGTTTATGCGCGTGTGTCCGTATGCGTAAGTCGTGACGCTGTCAATGGCGATCCACTGTTTGGTATCCAGGGGTGACAAGGAGGTTTTATTCAGGGTGATTCAATAGATGTTGTGTTTGTCGCTTCTCAACGCATTCATTCAGTGTTTGAACTTTTTATTCTTGAATAGAGCTTGTTTGAAGAGGGCGTGTTTGATGTGTTGTTTCACAACATATTTCTTGACCACTTTCGCCTTTCGGATCTCACCGTTGTCGGCTTTCAGGATGGAATACATCTTGGGTCTCAATCTGACGTATTCGGCGATGGGTGTGCCTGCGCATTCATCCTTCATCTTGCCGAGGACCTTTTTATTGGTCGTGCTGTGTAGGGTGTGGTCTTGGGGGTAATCGCTGGTGTCGTACAGGTGCATGTGTTTCGCCATGTCCTCGTACACGTCCTCGGTACGTATATTCAACAACAAGGAATCGGTGTCCGTGTACAGCAGCTCGCATCGATCGCCGTACTGTTGTTTGAGTCGGTTGTAGTAGAAATTGTACATGAGATGTTTGGTTAAGTCGAGGATGCTCATCCCCACGTAGACGGGCCTGTTGAGCTCGATGTGGCTTTTGTTCATGTGCAGCCCTGCCAAGTCGTTATCGAATAGCTTGCTTCGGTTGAATGCCGGGCTTGCGATCAGTTTTCTGAGTTTTTCCTCCTGGTGCAATAGCACAAATTTTACGTTGACACGTTTCCTCAAGTTTTCCATGGTTTTGCCGAATACCGAAAACTTGAGTTTGTAGATGTTTTTCTCGAAGTCGCTCGTGGCTCGTTTTCTCAATTCGGTGTTCAACCGAATGTACGATTCCATCCATGGTTTTTGATGAAATTTGAGAACTCGGTGTATTTTGGTCAGCTTCATACCCAGCGACAGGTACAGCTGTAGGTTGCGATAGTGCACGACGAACTTGGTCTTGTTCATCAAGTTCGGGACGAGTTTTTCCACCTGAGCCAGTGTGTTCTCACCCAACAAGTCTCGCTGATAATCGGACATCCAGTCTGGATCGACCATCAATCGTTCGGGACCCAGCGGATAACTGTTGTGCGATTCGTGCAATGCTTCGGGGTACTCCAAATCCACTTCAAACAGGTAGCTTATCTCGAAGTTGTCGGGGATGGCCATAATGTTCTTCGGATTATAACGCTCGCTATTAACCGATTTGAACCCGCCCGTAGGCAAATACTGACTCATAGCCTAGCCGTACAGGTTGTTGGCATCGAGATAGATATGATTGGCGGGCTTGTTTGAATCGTAGTTTTTCACCTACGGGTTGTTGGCTTTCGCGTACCGTTTTGAGACCATGGAAATCCTGCCGCGCATGCCTTTCTCGACGAACAGGTGCATGTCGTAATCTGTGAACAATTCCAGTTTGACGCCCGTTTTCTTTAGCAGTGCATCCCGAGAGAGACCGGGGCTGGTGTAGTACCACGCGGGGTCGAGTTGATGCTGTTTCAAACACGTTTTTCTGAACATCTCGAACACGACGGGCAGCAGGAGCACGTCCGTTTTCAAGTTGTCTGTTTTCTTCCAGGGATGGCGCGACAGTGTTCACCTGTTTGATGAGAGCTTCGAAGTCGGCGTAGATGACGTAGGGCACGGGCATTTGATGTTTGTGGTTGATGAATTTTAAGATGTTTTATTTTCTCGAGGCATATCAATTCTGATCCCCGTCTCTCCCATGCCTCGGCAATCCTCCCAGTGCGATTCTAATAAATCAGCGCTAGAATACCCATGCAGGCACCATTCGCAGAAATGTTTCTTTCTGGCGTGTTTGGATTGGTCATACAACGATCGGCTCAGACTTTTATCGCTAACCCTTAAAATAAAGGCGGTGATTGTTTACCGGTGGCGGTAATAGCCGCCGCGTATCCAGCGACCCTTCATCGATCGAGGAATTCAGCCTCGACTTTACGGGTATAGACATGCCTACCCCAATCTCCCAAATCGCTCGAGTGGAAAAACAAAACCCTGAGTGAGTGATAAAACCGTGCGCAGAATCAATTTATTTCTTGTTGAAAAAGACGGCCAGTACCACTACGCAGCCATTAAAAGTCTGAGCCGATTGTTGTATGACCAATCCAAACACGCCAAGACGCGATTACCTCTCCTCAACCGATTTTACAGCGGCTTAACCGACTCCACCATCTTCAAGGACGATTACGACCACGCCCAGAATGTGTGGGAGAAACTGGGCTGTCGACATTTAGGCGATTATCATGATCTCTACTTGAAAACGGACATGCTGCTGCTGGCCGACGTGTTCGAGATGTTCAGAAAAACGTGTTTGAAACAGTATCAACTCGACCCCGCGTGGTACTACACCAGCCCCAGTCTCTCGTGGGAGGCGCTGCTAAAGAAAACGGGCATCAAACTGGAATTGTTCACGGATTACGACATGCACCTGTTCATCGAGAAAGGCATGCGCGGCGGGATTTCCATGGTCTCCAAACGGTACACTAAAGCCAACGACCAATACGTGAAAAACTATGATTCAAACAAGCCTGCCAATCATCTCCTCTATCTCGACGCCAACAACCTGTATGGCTAGGCTATGAGTCAGTATTTGCCTACGGGCAGATTCCAGTGGGTTAATAGCGAGCATTTTAATCCGAAGAACATTATGGCCATCTCCAACAACTTCGAGAGTGGATTTGGAGTACCCCGAAGCATTACACGAATCGCACAACAGTTATCTGCTGGCTCCCGAACAATTGATGGTCGATCGAGACTGGATGTCCGATTATCAGCGAGACTTGTTGGGTGAGAACACACTGGCTCAGGTGGAAAAACTCGTCCCGAATTTGATGAACAAAACCAAGTACGTCGTGCACTATCGCAACCTACAGCTGTACCTGTCGCTGGGTATGAAGCTGACCAAAATACACCGAGTGCTCTAATTTGATCAAAAACCCTAGATGGAACCGTACATTCGGTTGAACACTGAATTGAAAAAACAAGTCACGAGCAGCTCTGCACCAACGCGACCTTGAACCCTGATCGCTCATGCTATGAGCGGTCAAACCTCTGCACCAGCCCCCTCCCCGTCGCTGACTTGACTCGCAAAAGTTTCTTCCGATACCCGACTCGAACTCGCGTCGCTGGATTACAAGTCCTACCCTCTACCATCACACCACAGGGACTGCCAATCAGTCAGTGTTCGGAACTTTGGGTCTAGGCTGGCGAGCTCGGCGGCACATCAAAGGATGGCTCTGGCACAACCATTGCTATTTTTACTTGAGGCTGGGAGGCTTAGTTCCCCCCAAAATAGCCTATAAGAGGAAGTGGTCCAGAACCATCATTATATAACTTCTAAACAATTGTAAATGATAAGTGGTCACTTTCATTTCCCGAGACAATACATATGCTTTAAAATGGGGAAAAAAACAAGTAAGTTGATAGTTTATGTTCAATCCCTTGATCTGAACAAGAGTTGACTGTTTGTGTTGTGCAGAGTCATCCCCAGAAGTCTGCGCTGGTCACCCTGAAGGACATGTCCAAGTTCGGGACTTGGGTGAACAAGAAGCGCGTGTCAGGAGAAACGCTTATCAAAGATGGAGATGAGGTGGCATTTGGCTCTCCCAAGTCGGTCTTCCTGTGAGTTGGTACCGATATCAATACCTCCTCATTTTGTGTGAAAAGGGGAGTCCCATCAATGAACATTACGACAATTAAGCAGCAATAACACGTGTATTGAGAGACATACTTTGAACTGTGTTTACATAAGATTGTTCATGTTTCATGTTGTCCAGCTATTCACAAGGTTGTGTTCGTCTGGCACAGTTTGTTATCAGGCTAATAGTGTCCTGGAGTCACATTTCTCTCTGTTGGTCATGAATTGATGCATAGCTTACATCTTTTTTATGTCCTTGCAGTGAACGTGCCAATGTGTAAATCACTGCAAATGAAACATGTCCTTGATAAATACATTTTGAGAACAAGTCTAAACTTTACAACCTTATAAGAGAAAGACTGCTTTGAGCCAAAACTTGCTAAAATGGAACAAAAATGTAATCTGAAATTAAACCATTTGAGTAGCGTATGGTACACAGATCTTTTTTTTTGGTTTTTGTCTGAGGGAAGATATTGTCTTACAGTGTTGTGAACGAGCCCTTCATCATTACAACCTCCTGCTTGGATGTACCATCAAAGAAATCTGCGAAAGCAGTAGTACGAACGTTTGGTGGCCATGTTGTGAGCGAGTGGACAAAGAACTGTTCTCTTCTAGTGATGAACAGCATCAGCGTCACCATAAAGGTTGGTAGTCCGCCCTGTGTGGTGCAATATATAAATATATACCAGGTATACTACACCTTTGATTAGGATATATTTTATCCCAAGTTAAAACATAACATGTTAAGTGCATATTTGAATATATCTGACATAATATTGAGTGGTTTAATTAAATTTGTGGGGCAGTGGGGTAGCTTATTGGTTAAAGCGTGGGCACGTCATCCCGAAAACCCTGGTTCGATTTCCCACATTGGTACAATGTGTGAAGCCCATTTCTGATGTCCCCCGCTGGGATAACGCTGAAATATTTCTAAAACCGGCGTAAAACCATACTCAATTTGCCTCCCAAATCAGATTGTGTGTTGTTTAACTATGCACTCTGCAATATTTCAGCTATAGATGTATTACAGCAGCATGTAAATAATCAAGTCTTGGGCCAAACAGACAAGAGATACATGTTACATATAGCGGGCAATCTGTATGGAATACATACATACCTACAAACCAGCTTTCAAGCCACAATCGTCATGGAAGTGTACAGTAATCATTATTTGAGTAATGATAGTATCTGATTAATTATAGTACATCGTCATATAATTAGTTTGTGTGGGACCACAATGCATCTAGGTAAACTTTGCATATTACATATTATTCTTCTAGGAGAGTGTGGAGAGATGATCAAATTGTAAAAAAATTAGCTTGGTCCACATGTGAAAAGGCAATAAATTTGCATAGTTTATAGTATCTTTTGATCTCAGTTTTGATCTGATTAAAGTTTGGTTTGACATCTTTTCTGCTCATAGTCTAAATATTCTCCTTTACAATTATTGGTTGCCTGGTACATGTTCTATCTGGAATGTTACTAAGAGTTCCAAAGTGTAACTTTGTTAGAGTAAATCAGGTTTGTGCAGGCAGCTTAAAACAAAAAGCTAAGATTTGAATTTTGACAGAGGTACACTCATGGTGATGTTCATTGTTTGTTGTCTATTACGCTAAGGCCGGCACAAGTATCTTTAATTTAGTGAACAAAGTTGTTTCCAGAAACTCCCAAGAAAACCCACTCCGACCCCATTCAAGTTTAAAAAGCTGTCTGAGCATCTGTCATCGAACTCTTTGTCCAGTGTCATGGATTGACCACTGGTTTTGTATATCAAGATATCAGTTACTGATTCAAGCACAGGGGAATATTCTGTACTCAATTTATTTAATAACCCATCAATTTCTAATACAGGGTCTAAAATAAGCCAGATGTGTTATCAGCAGAGACCCACGATACACTGCTCTATTTCCAGGTGATTTGTGCCATGATTACCCAGAGGTCCATAGTGCTTCCGTTGTATCTGGAAAAGCTTCTGAATCACCTGAAAGGAGAAGGGGAGAAGCCTGACCCAGATGTGTAGGTTGACAGATGGAGATGTTCTCTTCTGTATCACTTTTACAATTTAAGGGGAAAATCTGATGATCATAAGATATTGATACCCCTATGACTCTTACTACCTGAGGTTGGTGGGGTAGCCCAGTGGATAAAGCATTTGCTCATCATGCCTGGGTTCAGTTCCCCACATGGGTACAATGTGTGAAATCCATTTCTGGTGTCCCCTGCTATGATATTGCTGGAATATTGCTAAAAGCCACATAAAACCCAACTCACTCACTTAGTACCTGATGATTTTGATCAGTAGAATGGAATTTGTTTGAATCATACAGGTGTTGCAGTTGTGATGCAGAGTTGCCTCCTTGAAATATTTGATCAGGCTCGAATCACAGAATTGCCCAGATTATGTTTTCAGGCTTGTCACAGCAAACCTGCTCTTGTGGGTTTCACCAAGATGGTAAAACTCTAAGACTTGGAGAACTTAAGGCTTTACCCCATTTCCAAAGCTGAAAGTCTTTTATATGTTATTGAAAAAGTTTTAAAAGGGCACTGAGGCCCACACGCTCCCATTCGACAAGTGATCTTGTAAGAATATTGTGGAAAGTCTATTTACACAGATCTATCTCTCTAGCATTTTCTTTTGCCTTCCATTACACTAAACCATCTGTACTCTCGTGACCAGATATCTACCCACTGTGTCTGAGACCCAAGTCAACCCAGAGGAAGTGTCTTTTAAACCCAACCCAAACAGGGCCTCAGTATTTAAAGGGATGAAGTTCATATTTCTAAGTCAAAGACAGGTGAGACAGACATATAGCTATTCAGTTACAAAGATATTTATAGAGTATGCCTTGTGCAAACTAAGGTTCACTTTTCTTGAAAATATGTTATGCACATCAAGAAGAGGGTAGGAGATGGCAAGAGGCTGGGAGGGATGTCTGAATGGAAAATGAAGCTTGTTGAAAATAGAAACACTTGTGAAAATCTGAAAGAAACAAAATGGTTTGGTGCAAGTGTTTCCATGTTTTGTATAAGTGCTTGAGCCTCTCTGTGGTCCATCTGTTTAAAATATGTAAAGAGTAAGTGATTAATATTTGTGGTTAAGTACAGCTATGTTAAATAGTATTTAAAGAAAACAGGGTAAAACTAGAAAATATCAATCAAAATGGATATTGTGTGGTTTTATGTTTCCATGTGGTTTTATGTTTCCATGTGGTTTTCTGTTTTCATCCCTAATTTGTATATCAATCATTCCTTCTGTTCAGTATATTTGTGCAAAGCTGAAATTTCAACCTCATTAACTTCTTGCATTTGAAGGCTATAATTCCGACCCAGTTCTTTCACTTTTGCTGCAAATTGGGACCAAACAAAACCATAGGAAATGTCAGCATGGTGAAATGTTTATCTCGTATGATTCTGAAGTAGTTTCGTGTCTGTAGTTCAAGAAGATGAACCTGGCAGTGGAGTTGGCGGGGGGAATGCCGATACTGATGGAGGAGGGAAGTGACGACAATGACGACCGAGTCCTGGTAGAGACTGGAACCGTCGTCATGAACTGTGGCACTGAAGATCTAAAGACTCTAACACCAGCTGGGCAGGAGTGGGTCGCGCACGTCAACAAGTACCTGAAACGGTGAGGGAGCAGAGAGTTATTTAGTTGCATCATTGACATCAGGACTCATATAATATGGTAGATGTTTGTCATAACCCATATTATATGAGGATTGTTTTTAATGGTTTAAACTCAAGATGTATGTTGCAGGAAGAAGAAGAATGTGATCCAGGACGCGGAGGTTGGGTACGCTGTGCTGTACTGCTCCACAGACAAGCACTGTAACCCTGATATAGACAAAGGTATGTCCTTCAACATGGAGGCTGGCTCTATAGACAAACACTGTAACTCAGAATGTGGTATGAGTTTCATCTCAAACTTGCTCGAAAGTGCACTCAGCAGTATTCCAGCTATATTGCAGCGGACTGTACATAATCAAGTCTGGACCAGACAATCCAGTGATCAACAGCATGAGCATCAATCTATGCAATTGGGATATGATGACATGTGTCAACCAATTCAGCGAGCCTGACCACCCGATCCCGTTAGTCGCCACTTACAACAAGCATGGGTTACTGAAGATCTATTCTAACTCAGATCTTCATGGGTGTTGCTTGAATGAGCCTGTCAATATCACAAATATTGCAAATCTAGCAACATCAAATCAAGGATATGCATCTTTTAAATCTTGAAGATTGTCTTTGACATGTTAATAACACGACAGAGAGATAGTGATTTTTGTAGATGTTTCTTTTATTGACATAACCACAGAAACGTTGCCTGCCATTCTGGAGTCTCAGTGTGTTTTGTGTAATTTGTAACTTCTCTGTTGTTGAAGGACAACGGTTTGTGTACTTGATGATTGTCGACTCTTAGGAGAGAATAATATGCATTCACCACACTATGGTCTAACCGATACATGCTGTTCATTGTCCCAACAACAACACAGAAGGGGCGGTGGGGTAGCCTAATGGTTAAAGCGTTGGTTCGTCTCGCCAAAGACCCGGGTTCATATCCCCACATGGGTACAATGTGTGAAGCGCATTTCAGGTGTCCCCTGCCGTGATGTTGCTGAAATATTGCTAAAAGCGGCGTAAAACTAAACTCAGTCAGTCAGAGATTGAACTACCTGATTTTACAAGCCTCTATATACCCCCATGTAGCAGTGACCCCTACCAAACAATATCCTCCCAGCAAGTAACATATCAGTTTCATTCCAATTCACTCTGTTCAACTGAATATGAACTACATATCCAGGTTAGCTACAGTACAGTGCCATCATGTTGTGAAACATTTTGTTTGAAAGGTTCATGTATATTTCTTCCAGCCCAGCAGCTGTTTCAGAACGTTCCGTCCCAGTCTCTGTCTCAGTCGGTAGCGGAACACATGATGCCAGATGTCCTTGTGGCCAACACAGAGACCTCTCCAGGGTACAGCCAGCTTGTAGACAAATCTCATCTACCTAAAGATAACAACGTATAATCATCAAGCACTGTTGTTTCAGTAGAATATATTATATATCTGGTTTAAGACCAAAATTCAAATGCATGTTTTTCTGGCATGTCACAGAGCATTTCTTAATGGAGGCTTTACTGCTTCTGTTTTGCAACAGAAATGCATTGCTGTTTGGTTCTCTTTCATTTGCAGACTTTGCTTGTAAGAGCTGACAAAAATGTATCAGATGGTTAAGTATATGATCAGGTTGATTGCGTGTCAGGGCAGTGTGCTTTGCAGAGTTGTATCCCTTGGACTCATGGGTTTGAATCCTGATACACACTGGATTTCAAGGTTTATCAGAGCAATTCCTGTGCCCATGGGTTTAACCGAAGTGGTTAGATGTCTTAAGACCTGAATTGCTTCAAGCATTCCTCCTCCGTCAAGCTGCAATGCTGTAATATAGCATAAATACTGTTTAAAGCAACAATAAATCCAAGACTCACTCACTCAGGTTTGTAGTGAAAATCTTTTGTAAGACTTGGTGACTTTAATTGGTATTTCATATTTTTTACATTATGTGAATAGTAAAATAACTGAGATACAGATTTTTATCCCCCTGCTGCACGTTTAGAGCAAGCAGGGGATATGGTATTAGGCTCCATCCATCGTACGTACATACAAATTGGAATATCTTAAGAACCGTTGACTAGATTCTTTTCATATTTGGTACCTAGGTTCATCACAGTATGCAAAAGGTCTCAGTCAGGTTTGGTGACCTTGACCTTCATTTCAAGGTACAAGGGGACTTTAGCGTTTTGCCATTGTCAGCGAGATATCTCAAGAACCGTTCTCTGGATGTTCTTCATATTTGAAACCAGGCTTCATCTAGGAAAGACGCAGGTTGACTGGTCATGCTTGACATTTAACTTCATCTTAATGTACAACCTTCACTTTCTCTACTTTTATTCCCCCGCAACTTCGTTGTTGCGGGGGATATAGAAATGAGTTCCGTCTGTCCGTCCGTCCGTATATCCGTCACACTTTGTCCGAAGCATATCTCCTAAACTATTCATGATAGCTTAACCAAACTTGGTACACATGTCAACCATGATCCCTAGAGGTGTCTTTTGGGGGTTAGACCCAGATATGAATTTTATTTTTTGCTGTTTTCAATGAAACGTGACTTATGCTGTGACTATAAAGATGTCATCTTGTCCGGAGCAGATCTCCTAAATTATACACGCTAGCTTCATCAAACTTGGTACACATATCAAGCATGATCCCTAGATGTGCCTTTGGGGGTTACACCCAGATATGAATTTTATTTTTTGTGGTTTCCATGGAAACATGACTTAGGCTGTGACTATGAGGATGTCATCTTGTTGCATTTCCATGCCAACAAGTTAAGCTTCAACTGAATTTGATGGTAGTGCACCTTTCTGGAGCAGATCTTAAAACTTTCAATACTCCCCTTCCACTTTGCTGTATACACTCCAAAACATTTGACATAATCATTGCTAGTAGACATATTCTATAAGATTATTTTGCCCTTGTGGAGGATATTGATGACTTTGTCTTCTTGTTTGTTTTGATAATTTGCGGCAGGGAATTATGTCACCTTAGTGACAATGCTTGTTATGAATTGTGATTCTCTCTTATCTTTTGCAGGAGGAGACGAGGTAAGGATAGAGAATTTACAGGTGACAAGTCTGTGGTTGATGAGAGCATCCTACATGAACAGGTGTGTACTGTAATGTTTACACCTTGAAAGAAACCCATGATTGTAGTCCATGTCAGTCAGTGGTTTGTCTAGTGCAGACTTGATTATGTACAGTTTGATATCGTTAAGCTTAACTGTTGGAATGTTTAGCTTTACACGAACTAACAAATTACAGTGCAGAGCTCCAGATAAGATTTAACTCATGTGGGTACTATACCCACTGTATTTTTTTGGAGTAGGTACTATGAATGTTGAGTGGGTATTTCATTTTAAGTTACCCACTGCTTTCAAATATGTGCATATTTCAGTCATTTTACTCACCTAAGTATTATGTCGTTGAGTAAGTTTACTATGCAGGTATGTTTTGCCTTACGTCATATCTAATCAACTTAAATATAATGGAAATGACTTCATAAAAAATCACTCATCTTATACTGACTAGGGCTTCAACGAGTCCATTTTGTGGACTCGAGTACTTTCGAGGGGATAAGACTCGACTCGGACCCGAAAGTACTCGAAATTCATACCTTTCAAGCAAACGATAGCGTAAATTGCATGACGGTTCCGATCACACAAGTGAACACTTACTTCTTTCCGACTTCATATCGCCATGTGACTAACATTTCCTATTGGTCAGAATCAATATTTGATGTTTACTTGACAAATGTTTTGTTCTTCGTGACTTCTTGTACTGCCTGCAGAACGCAGTGATATACTGCACATGCGGCATTTTGGTTATTTTGCTCTTTTCTCTATCCAGATCAAGATATGCCCATACATATGATTTTTTATCTTCTCGATTATTTACAGACCGCGCCATATAGCTGGAATATTGCTGAGTGCGCGCGTAAAACTCAACTCACTCACTCACTCTCCATGTCTATCAATTGTCAAGATAGTTACCTAATCATTTTAAGAAGTGAAATCTCAAACGATGTATAATAATTACTCTCATCTGCAGATTTGTAACAACTAATACCATACAGCCACACCCAGTGAGGAGTAAGCTATTTAATCTAGGTGTTAATAAAAACATTATCAGATGGATTAAAAAATTCAGGGTACATAGCACTCAGTATGTCAGTGTCAGTGGCTATCAATCTTCTTTGCTCTCAACCTCTACTGGAGATCCACATGGCTGTGTTCCTTCATCCAGTACTCTTCATTTTGTATACCAATGACTTTTACTTGTCAATTTATGACTTGTTCACTGTGAAATTTGCAGATGACGCCACTGTTACTGGCCTAATTTCTGATTCTGAACATTATTATCGCCAAGACATTGACAAAACCATAATGACAGTTTTTATCAAACCTTTATTCAAAGTGTGTTGACCTACAATTTTCTATGTTGGTATGGGGATGTGTCTCATCGCAACAAAACCAAACTTTTCAAAATTGTTAATACTGCTTGCAAAATTTCTGGAGTGTCTTTTGAGTATATTCCCTTTATCTATGAGCGCCAGATTGTCAAAAGGCAGCTAAAATTAGATTTGATAGTTGATATATTTGATCTCACCATTTTGAACTACTTCCTTCTGGACGCTGCTGTCGATTACCTTCCAAAACAAACAGAGCTAGACAGTCTTTCATACCATCAAGTATTCGTGAATACAACAAATATTTTGAATCACACCATCATGTGATTAGAACTAGAATTATTCAGCCTCTTTACCTATGTGGTTAATTGAATTATATCATGTCAGATTTATTTGTAAATAGCATCTCGCTTTGAGCATGTTATTGTGTAGATTTTTGTGAACTGTGTATATATTCATTTTGAGACTGTTTGGATGTATAAGAATTTCCTCCGGGATAATAAAGTTATATCTTATCTTAATATTAGACGTTAACGGCCGCTCGTGCTTAGCACATGGCAGACAGTCTGTCAACGCCAAATAATTCGAAGTTATCTCCCTTTTCGAGTCCTCGAAGTCCTTGAAAATGGACTCGAGTCCAGCTGAACTCCGACTCGTCCCTCGAAAGTACTTCTCGAAACCGCGGAAGCCCTAATACTGACAGTACAAGACTTGTCCTATACTAACAGTACAACTTGATAGCAATCGATGTCTTTTTCATAATGCAAGCTATTATTATAAATATATTCCGCACGCATTTGTTTTAAACTTTTTGCGTATATAACATTTTAAATGTGTAATTGGTACGCAACAATTATTTTTCAATGCGTAACTGGAAATATTCTATGCGTATTTTACCTGGATACGCAGCCTATCTGGGCCTCTGACAGTGACTGTTTTAAAAAATGTTGAGAAAGTACAAATTGATATGGTCTGTAATTGTGATGTCTCACTATATATAAATGACCAAGGGACTGTTTGACATGGTACAAAGTAATGTATTTTAACACCAGTTCACAATGTGTCAAGTTACCATGGTTACAAGTATAGTGTTATACGTTCCAGGCTGTGAAGATGAAGCAGGAGGTAGTCGGGCAGCGAACAGCGGCCACACCCACCAAGAGGAAGAGGTCGGTCGGTCCTGTAAAACATTTGTGTCTCGAGGATCATTAGATGTTAATCTAACAGACTACTTAGAACTAATTCTACATTAATACATGATCACTGGAACCTTCTGCATGACAAAAGTTTTACCAGTGTCTGTGATATGTAAAGCTAGGGGCCTGGATGGCTAATTAGGCTATAGTGCCACAACTTGATGTGCAGAGTTGTCCCCTTACTCGTGGCAGAAACCTGTGATGATGGGGAAGAAATGCCAGTTCACCCTGATGATAGGTCTAGTTTGTCAGCATGACACAAGTGGTAGTGGTTTTCACATATTTGGTAAATGTGTAAGACCTGCATAACTTGAGATTCTTTCAGCCTGAAATGCTGTGGTACAACTGAATGCTGCTCTAAGCCAAACTCACTCACTCACTCACACAAAGAAACCCACGCTCCTCCCACCAGTATTGATGGGATAGCCTTGTGGGCGAAGCATATGCTTGTGTTTTTTAAAATCTAAGGGTTCAATGCTCCACCTGCTTTGATATTCTGGACATGATCTTTAAAGCCTTAACCCATAATCACTCTACTCTCATTATCAGAACTTATTGGTGTGATACTTTCAGGACAGGAGAAGTGAGGGAGGATGAAACAACACAAGCACAAGAATCGAAGAGAATCAAACAGGAAGTGGTGACACCTGCGAAGTCAGAGACACAAAGAAGGTCAAGGTCAGAAGTGTCTCCAGACCGAGATGTCAAGGCAGCCAGACAACCAAAACAGGGCATCTCTCCAGAACAGGAATCGGTCGCCAAGAGCAGAGGAAGAAGAAGCCCGTCACCAGCTGCTGTGAAGAATCCGCCATCAAGAAGCCGTTCTCCATCACCATCTCCGAAGTCGTAGATCAGCGAGAGGGAAGAACGTATCCCCAGCTAAGGAGGTGGTAGTGAAGGAAGAGAATACGTTGCCATCAAATTCGGGTACAGGTTCTAGTAGAGGAAGAGGAAAAAAGTCTGTGTCTCCCCAACCAACAAAATCCCAGAGAGTTAAAGATGAACTGTTTGAAGAACTTGATGATGATTTTGACATCAGTGTAAAAACACCTGCATGGATTTCAGGGAGAAAATCGCAACCTTCTCATGTTTTGAGCGATGAAGACGTTGAGGAGGTTCAATCAGTTTCAAGTAAGACATTCAAAAAGATTAAGAAAGAAAATGAAACTGAAGAGTCAAAAGACTTACCAAAAACCTCTCCATCTTCTAAAACTAACAAGCGTGTCCTGCTTGATGACAGTGATGAAGATGAACTTGGTCTGTGGCAGGGAAGGCAGCGGGGTCAGAAGCAGACGTCAAATGATGACTCTGATGGCTTTTCGGATATTTCGTCTTCCAAACACAAGAAACACAAATCAGATACTAGTGGAACAAGAGGGAGTAATGAAGAGGATAATTTGTTTGATGATATTCCATCAACAAGAACAAATACAGTCCGGTCAGGAACAGACAGAAAAGAGAGGGTGGCTGGACAATCAGGGAAGGGGGCAAGACAGAAGTCCCCCTCCCCGACTCCCTCCAGTCGCACCAAAAGGGAAAAGAAAGATGACATCGAGGAGGAGATTTTGACTGAGCCAACCCAGGTCAATTTTGAGTCCAGACGACAGAACAGAAATGTCACATCCAGAGTGGATGTTGTGGAAGTACCAGAGGAAGAGCCAGACACAATTGTAGAGGTGGGTATCTTCAGATTTACATGATGTGGATTGGGTATAGGTTATGTGAGTTCAGGTGAAGGTTGGTTAATGGCCCATTTATTTATTTATCTTTTTTATTATTGCACTAATATATAAAAATATTGCCCCTGTTTGTGCATACCTGTGAAGGTCAGGGTTAGAATTGATCTTCAGTAATCCAAGCCTGTCGTAAGAGCCGATCGGGTGGTCAGGCGTACTGACTTGGTTGACACATGTCATCAAATCCCAGTTGCGCAGATCGATGCTCATGCTGTTGATCACTGGATTGTCTGGTGAAGACTTGATCATTTACAGACTGCCGCCACTTAGTTGGAATCTTGCTGAGTGTGGGGTAAATAGAGAATCTCACCCAAGTGTCTACTGATATCAAATATATGACCTCAGGTTCATAAAGTTACAAATATCCAAGGCTTGTCGAGGATATTTTTACTTTTATCAACGAGTGTTGATATTTATCATAAAAAATCACTCTTCATTAGTTTTCAATGAAAAATGTACATCAGGTGCCAGGATCGAGCCCACCTATGACCGGGTGTAAAAACCTTGGACTCAACTTTGTGTAGACTCTTTCAGTGTTGTCACAACCCCTAGTGTACAGTACTCAACCCTGTGCACTTAAAAGAACCCACGAATTCGTTGGTATATGACCAGATGGTGGCCACATGAATACGTGTAAACCCCTAGTTGCGGGTACAGCAACGTGCAGTAAAACATGGACAAAGTACGGTGACTATGTGTCCCAGTCCACCCAGCTATGAATGGGTACCTCGTAAGGATGGGAAAGCCGCAGTAACTTGGTGCTCCTTGTGGCAGCAAGAGTTGTATGATCCCCAGGGAGCTGAGATTGATAATACCATGTGCCGTTGAGATTGACATCCAATGATCAAGGGAAAAAATACCAGCGCCTTGAGCATGCACTAGTGTGTGCATATGTGCTCTATATAAATATCCAATAATAAATAATCTGTGAACACAGTACTGCCATAAGACTTGCAGTGCAGCGATGTCATAGCACTGTGACATCATCAAATTTATGACATCATACTATTGTCAGAGCATTGTACAAAATCTACTTGATCTTACATAAGGAATATCTCCTGTGGAACACAGTTTGGGATGATAAAACTAAACTCACTCCCTCACCTGTTTGTGCATCTGCTCTGGTCCTGGGTGCGAGCATTTCACCGTGAGCGTCCCCTAAAGTCCCCATGAAATGAATTTGTATATTTCTGTGGCGTAAACAAACGACACTGCACTGAAGCCTTACAAATGTCAGGCCAGTCTGACCACTGTCGTCATGGGAACACAACCAGGCGAGTCGGTGTAACACATTTGTACAACAATATTGCAACGTCATGGTTAAGAATAGGGACAGCCATGAAGTGAACAATGTTCTGAAGCAAAGGATACAAATATGTTTGATTTCACTGCGCATATTTGGTGGGGGATTCTAAAGGCAGGCCGCGTGTTATTCAAGACCACTGACAGATTTTACATAGGTTATAGCCTCGTCACGCCTTGTTTATTCTGACTGACAAAGTTCAGGCACATATTAAAAGCTCTGACACAATTGACATTTTTAAAGTCCAGACTTAAAACCTGTTCTCAGTATATTACTTATAATCTCGGCTGTAAATATTATCGTGTAAATTATCTGTACACAGCGCTTTGAGCATGCCCAAGGGTGTAGAATAGACGCACTATAAATATGCATTTATTATTATTATATTATGCTTGATACCCAGCGTTCTCACGCACTTGCACCTGAAACCAAGGTGCTCACTACCCTAATATTTTGCTCGTCTTTTTCTCCACGTTTACACTTGGTTGGAAAAATACCGACGAAGGCCCGGATTAGAATATTGAATATAGAACAAGTTTTATGGATAACAACTTCTTTATTTCGTGAGTGCGACGTTTCGATACAGATTCTTGTACCATTGTCAAGCAAGACAATAGGGACAGCCGTGACAACGGTACAAGGATCTGTATCGAAACGTCGCACTCACGAAATAAAGAAGTTGTTATCCATAAAAACTTGTTCTATATTGTACGTCTCAACTTCTAAAATGCCACTCAAACAAGTTAGAATATTGAACTTCAATAACCCATGCTTGTCGTAAGAGGCCACTAACGGGATCAGGGGGGTCAGGCTTGCTGACTTGGTTGACACATGTCATCGGTTCCCAACTGCGCAGATCGATCCTCATGCTGTATATCACTGGATTGTCTGGTCCAGACTCGATTAATCATAGCTAAGATACATAGCGTTCACTAACATGAATGCTTTCGTGTTAGTGAACGCTATGCATCTTAGCTAGATTATTTACAGACTGCCGCCATATAGTTGGAATATTGCTGAGTGCGGGGTAAATAGAGAATCTCACCCAAGTGTCTACTGATATCAAATATATGACCTCAGGTTCATAAAGTTACAAATATCCAAGGCTTGTGTCGAGGGATATTTTTGACTTTATCAACGAGTGTTGATATTTATCATAAAAAATCACTCTTCATTAGTTTTCAATGAAAAATGTACATCAGGTGCCAGGATCGAGCCCACCTATGACCGGGTGTAAAAACCTTGGACTCAACTTTGTGTAGACTCTTTCAGTGTTGTCACAACCCCTAGTGTACAGTACTCAACCCTGTGCACTTAAAAGAACCCACGAATTCGTTGGTATATGACCAGATGGTGGCCACATGAATACGTGTAAACCCCTAGTTGCGGGTACAGCAACGTGCAGTAAAACATGGACAAAGTACGGTGACTATGTGTCCCAGTCCACCCAGCTATGAATGGGTACCTCGTAAGGATGGGAAAGCCGCAGTAACTTGGTGCGCCTTGTGGCAGCAAGAGTTGTATGATCCCCAGGGAGCTGAGATTGATAATACCATGTGCCGTTGAGATTGACATCCAATGATCAAGGGAAAAAATACCAGCGCCTTGAGCATGCAACAGTGTGTGCATATGTGCGCTATATAAATATCCAATAATAAATAATCTGTGAACACAGTACTGCCATAAGACTTGCAGTGCAGCGATGTCATAGCACTGTGACATCATCAAATTTATGACATCATACTATTGTCAGAGCATTGTACAAAATCTACTTGATCTTACATAAGGAATATCTCCTGTGGAACACAGTTTGGGATGATAAAACTAAACTCACTCCCTCACCTGTTTGTGCATCTGCTCTGGTCCTGGGTACAGTTGAAGGAAGCGATCTTAGGGCTGAGATGATTGTAACTCTCATGCCTTTACATAGATGTACAGCTGTCTAAGAACTAATGTTCTTCTTACAACAGCACCCTGATATCACAGGGACTTGCATCAAGGTATATGTTGTCACTGACAAGGTCTTGCCACTGTATGAAAAGAAAAAAAAAGGAGGGGGGTGACGAGCGCAACACACCAAGTTTTTTTCAGGACAAATTCCCCAATTGTATCTCTATAATACTATGCATGCATTTCAAGCCAGTGAGACCCATATCTGTATGCACAATACATTAATTTAAACAAGAAATTTGGTTAGTGCTATATGTTGAGCACAGAGTCTGGTTTGGAATTGAAATTACTATCTTCCGAGTTTCCAAAGACCCTAGCTCTCAAAAAATGGCTTTGATTTTTTTTTATCTGTGTGTCAGATGCAGAATTTGTTTTTGTAAATCAGTTAAAATGTTTTCAAAACATTCCATGTGATATGGAGCAGTGCCATAGAAGTGGATGTTTATGACAATAAATAATTTGAGAAAGTCAATGAATTATATATTGAAACTTCCACCAATTGACTTTGATAAATATTTCCTTATCATACCAAACAGTGTAGACATATTTTCAACCATTGAATATCCCTTCTGGAATCCTGTTTGATTTTCACTGGTAATGTTATTGTTTGCCGACCATTTATGAAGTCGTTTATTGAAAATATTCATTAATACTTTCCCAGGTGCGAGTATTAATGATATGCCTCTGAAGTTAATAGGGGAGTACCGATACCCTCTTGTGAAACTCACATATGATGGCTGTGCACTATTTTTCACAAAATGAAGAAGTTGTTATCCATAAATTTGTCAGTATTGTACTTCCAATAAATGCCCCTCAAAGATGTGAACATTTTGCACGAGTTTCCAGAGTTAAGTATTTGTTTAAATACATAAATACTGGAGCTATCACTAAATGGACTCTTGAAGTGATTCAGGTCAAAAGCCATCACACGCTGGAGCTATATTCTGTTACAGGTTGCCATTGTTTCGTATTGTCTCTATCAGTGGGTGTTGGGTTATGTCAATATTTACCGGATCAGGCTAATGTGGATTACATATCATGCTCTCATACATCACTTGTAACTTTATCTTCTGTCAAGGAAGTGAGTTATCTTGTTAGCAAACGTAATGATAATTCTATTTGTTACTGCTTTTCTTGACATATAATAATAAGAGGAAGGCTTCCTTTTGAGAAAATGCTGATTTTGTTATCTCATACATAATCAATTCTTTAATCAATAACTGTTCATGATTTTCTGTCTTGCTATGACATGTTGATATGAATATGCCTCACTATAACTTTCTGAATAATTAATTCATTTTCTTATAATTTTAACTTGAATTAAGAATGTAAATTTCTGTCTCTATGTAATGGCGTTCTGAACAATCAAGAGGGTATGGGTAAAAGAATATGAAGCATGTGCATTACAGGTGTGTTTTCAAACAACCTGTCAAATTTGGTCTGCTTTATCTTAAAATTCCCAATAGTTGTTCAATTGTAGTTTTTTAAACCCTGAAAAAATCTCTTTGTCAGAAAGTTGGCAGGTGTACACATGCTTGATCTATGCAAGAATTAACTTGGCGACCAGGTCAAGATATTGTCAGTGTAGGAAAGATGTAGAAAATCTTGATCTATGCAAGAATTAACTTGGCGACCAGGTCAAGATATTGTCAGTGTAGGAAAGATGTAGAAAATCTAGCCTGTCCACAGGACTGGCAGGTCAAATTTTTTACCAGTCCTGCCAAAATCTAGCCTGTCCTCCAAATATAAATAAAACACCTTCGGCAGTAAATATTCAAAAAGGTTATAATCATTATATATGTCATTGGTTTGCTAAAATTGACCCGACATGAGGACGGACTAGATATTTTTTTAACCCGTCCTCCACAAAATTCACCCGTCTCGGACGTTGGGACGGGCTATCTTTCCTACACTGATATTGTGTTATGAAATTTAGTATGTAAAGGATGTAACTGCATGTAAGGTAGAAACGGGTTGTAGGTGTGAAACAGGGAATGAATTGTATCCAGTATTGTTTGAAACATTGTTGTGTTGATGGGAAATATTGGGAAAAGTGTTTTGTTGTACATTTTAATGAAGACATATTGTGTTGATGGCTCTCATCCAAGTTGTCTTGTCAGCATGTAATAATGTTATGTTAGTCCCTGTTACAGTACTACAAGAGTCCATTACTTCATGTTCATTGTTGCAGACAAGGGACAGTAGCAGGAAGGATCACCATGACAACAGGACAGTACCTAGAGGGTTCCTAACAACCAGGCTGCCCATCAAGGTAGTGCCCAAATTCTTCTTCTCGTCTCAGGGGCTGTGGGGTAGCCTAGTGGTAAAAGCGTTCGCTTCGTCACACCAAAGACCCGGGTTCGATTCCCTACATGGGCACAGTGTGAGAAGCCCATTTCTGGTGTCCTCCGTCGTGTTATTGCTGGAATATTGCTAGAAGCTGCATAAAACCCAACTCACTCACTCACTCTTCTAGTCTCACCCACAGTGGGATAGCCTAATGGTTAGAGCATTCTCTCATCATGCCGAAGACTTTGGGTTCAAATGAACCCATGGAGGCACAAGTGTACAATGTGTGGTGTGCCCTTCAAGGTCTGTGATATTGCTAAACACCAAGCTGGCGTAAAACCATACTCAAACACTCAAAATCTGCAGTAAACATTTGTCTGATTGAAAACCGGTATTTTGACTAGGCATTCTGGAGAACTTCATAACACTCAGATATCTTCGGATATTTCCTTTCTTCACACCGGAAGTCAAGTTCATTTTGAAGTTATGTTCTTAATTTTTGTTCAAATGTTTCGCAATGTTTTGGATCTGAATGTTCTAAATATTTACTCATTAATGACCAGTGATATGTCCTGACCAGGTCAAGTTGCTGACTAAAATCACAGGGCATTTTTTTTAGAGTGGAGAAACTAGTTCAAACTAGTTATCACTGTGTTGATGTTAAATTGTTCTTTTCCTTGTTTCATTTGTGCCAAATATTATTTACAGTTGTATTTTCTCATGATTAAAAGATTTTATTAAAGCTTAATAAAGCATACGTTTTTTTGTGTGTTTTTGCTTTATAAATCAAACATTAACTCAATTATAAGTAGTTCTTTGTTGGAAAAACTTCTTGCAATATATTGTAATACATATCGCAGTATATGCTTTCACACTGCAATATATATCGCAATATGAAAATTCTCTGCAATACCCACCCCTAATAATATCCCATGTCAGACATGAGCACTAACCTCTAGTTATCTTTTCACTATGGTTACAGGAGCAGACGGTGAAGAGACAAGACTTCATCAAAGAGGAAAATATTCCCACTGCTGTCATGGTCACAGAATTTGCTAGTTTGGTTGCCAGGCAACCTAAACCTCCAGTCAAAAGGTCAGGGAGAAAGGATATACCTGATGGTTACACAGAATGGAATGGCAAACTTGTGAAGAACTTCAAAAGGTTTAGGAAGGTAATGACATATATGATATGAAGTGAGCCCAGGGATTATATTTCCTAGCACGTTATTATGCATAAATCCCAGGGTGCATGGTACATCTTGATCTTAGTGCTGCAACAATAGTAAACAGTATAGCTACTTGTCGTGTTCACTTGTCCGAAATATGTCAAGCTTGTCAAGATATTACCAGCTAAGCAGATTATGTCCATGAGAATTGCTGACCTGAACAGCTTGTTAGTCGTTTATGTGCCTTATCGGGGGACAGCAGGAGACGGCAGACAGTGGAAGAGCATGGACAGACCAGCAGAAAGGCAAGCCGGTTGCAAGGAGGGACGGGCACTGAACCCCTGATCCAATCCATCTACTGCCCAAGCGTCAGTTTGACTTAGACGCCTTCCCCTGATAGCCTCTGTTGGACTCTGTAAACTGTGTGCAAACTGTTCACCATGCCTCACAAAGTTACGTGAATAAAAACACCCATTCTTTGTCTGCCACTGGGCTTCACGTTGTTTCAAGAGCACCGGAGATGTAGTGTTACAAAAGATATGTTAAAGTAAGGGAGTTCTGATCACCTTAGCACTAAGATCGCATTGTGGCGCTTGATCTTGACTGTGCTGAACATGCCTCTCATATTGGCTCACTGAATTGTCCAGACCAGTGAAAAGAAAGATGCTGTTTCACATCAACAGATTCAGCCATTATAGTGTGGTTGCTTAGCAGCACTGTGACTAATGTCGACAAGCTTCTTTTTCAGTCCAGTCATGCAGGAGCCAACTTTCTACCTCGCATCATCGGTGGCAGCGACCTGGTGGAACACGCTGGAAGTCAGCGCCGAGAGTTGGACGACTGGTTTAGAGATGCACTACAGGTATGTGCCATTGTTTGAAGGGCAACCAGTGTTCCAGTTTGGGTGTTCCTTTGTCTTTGATGTGTCTGAAATCTGTGATGATGTGATCACGATGATCATCCCTGTTTGTGGGTTTCACTGAAGGTATATACATCTGGGACCTGCACTACTCCAGGCTTCCCTCCCACATGAAGCAGACACGCCATAACTGATACACTGTCCAGTGTGGTGTTAACCTTGCTCATCATTACAATGTTATAAACTTTGTCAGCATTTAAGCCTGGCATTTGAGGTTGAGTCAGCACTTAATTTAGGAACAAATTGTCTGCAATGCTGTTGAATAAACATATTACAGTTTATTTTCTTTTTCATAATGAATATTGAGATAACGTAGAAAAAGTTCATTTATAACTGGGTTAATAGATGTTAAACATTATACTTCAGTATGTTCATTATATTTGGCGGTACTAAGTAGAGAATGTAAGAATGAATCTGTTTCAAAGCACAGCTGAGTCTTCCTGTTATGTCACTTCCTATCATGATTCAGCTCAGTCGTTGTTTCATCATGCATTTTGAGACAAGGTCACCAATATTCATCTGTAACTAGGACGTTAAATGACAACCACTATACATGAGTATGTTCACTATGTACCCAGTATGTGGAGGTACAGTGTAACAGTTGTGACAACTCAGCTGATACAAATACCGAATGTTGGATATCCACGGACCTACCTGCCTTTGTGTTAACATATCCGTTTCTATCAGAACAAATATTGATTGATTTTACCTAAGGTGGCTGCACTGTCCCATGGTAATAGTCTTTCCATAGAGACAGGTCCACAGGGGTGGAAATAACCCATTGCCCGACACCCGAGTCCAGTGGTTTTTTCTGTCGGGCAAGCAAATTTGTATATCACACTGTACCGGTGTCCAGTTGACTTTCCAATATTAATTATGTTGTTTATTTAAAAAACCACAAGAAAACGGCCAGTATAATGGAAAAATTATCAGGGCAAGTGATGTTACATGTGCCACTGTACCGGAGTACACTAGCAATTTTAAAGTTATTTCCACCCCTGGTCCAGTTCCTAACCCGTCCAACTGGTCAGTATTAACCTGATTAAGTGGGTGATCAGTCAGATGATGAGACAAGTCTTGGGACTGTGGGTGAAGCAACTGCTTCCACATATGTAGATATATTTGAACCATAATTTTGAAGCAGCCAAATACAAGAGAGGATAGCTAAATTTGTCATAACTTGTGGGTCAGAGGTCTTGGAAAAATGACTCACCCAGGATTGATTTCAACAGTCATGTCACGTGGACTCAACCATCATGGTGACAACACAAGATGTTGAGCATGACTCATTTCCTGAAATTGTATTTTATGATGTATTTAGATTTTGTTTCCATATTCACAGGCCGAGAGTCAGGAGAATGAACGAGAGCGAGAAGCTCAAGACCTCTTTAAGTGAGTACAGAAGTTAGTCTCTTGTTTAACACAGCACTGGATGGTGGTTGTCTTTGATTAATCCTGGGCCAGACGATCCTGTGATTGACATCATGAACATCGATCCACAAAACAGGGCTCAGATGACATGTAATCAATAAAGACACTGAGAGTGATTGTCTTTAGTCGCTTCTCACAACAAGCATTGGTTGTAAGGAACTGATATTCTTGTCATTAATCCCCATGGATTGACTCTGGTGTGGGTCCTGGTTGTTCATAAAGTGTATTGGTTGGTCAACATGGAGACTAAGTTGAAAGTGTGTAATGATACTGTCAGTGTGAGATGGTACTCATGATATCTCTCACTAGTTCCTCTGGTCCAGGCTTGCTTATTTACAGGACTCATTAATAATCAACAAACAATAAAACATATCCCAAAGTGCTGTGGGAAAAAGAAGTTACTAGATTTATTACCCTCACTTGAAGAAAGTTGTTCAGCAACAATATGTCAACATCCTATGTTTTTACTGACTTGGCTGACGCTGCTGACCTTGACATGGTAATCCTTCTCTGCAGTCAACCTTGTTAGTACCTCTTTAAGTTAAATGATGCAATGCAAATGCAGGGGTTCAAAATTGTTTTTAAAAGCCACTTGCCACAGGGCAAGTGACTTTAAGAAAGTAACTTGTCCTGACTAATTTTCCACTTGCCCTGGTTTTATGACATAATTATGCTGATGTAATTATGAAAGAAGAAATCAACATGGTATTTGATGTTAATGTTTACTGGACTATTTATTGAAAAGTGATAAATAGCAAAGAAAGATAACTCTACTTTGTTATCATTGCGAAATGTAATAGCTACATTTTGAGCAGATATGAAATTAAATCCAAGTTTATTTGCAGTTTGAATCCATAAGTGGAAATTATCTAGTAGCCCACGGACAAGTAAGATACCATTATTTGATTGCCCGAAATGAAAACTGACTTGTCCCGGGCGTCAGGCGATGGGATTTTTGAACCCCTGAAATGTAAAGTGACTTTTGACTTGTCAACAATTAAAACTGATTTACAAATTATTGCTTAGTAGTGTATAACAAAAGTAAAAATAATCTGTTTGTTCTGCGTCCAACCTACCATGAGGTTCAAATGGATCGCGTGTAGTCCATGTTGAGTGATACCGTGCATTCATGAAGCGGACATTAACAAGCTGTTGTTTCTGTATCCCCTCAGTTGTTCATTGCTGATTGGCTGTCAGTATTCAGACGAGGGGTAGACCCATTAGAAAAGTTTGTAGAATGGTATAGGGGCGGTGGGGTAGCCTTGTGGTTAAAGCGTTGGCCGAAGACCCGGGTTCGAATCCCCACATGGGTACAATGTGTGAAGCCCATTTCTGGTGTCCCCCGCCGTGATGTTGCTGGAATATTGCTAAAAGCGGCGTAAAACCAAACTCAGTCAGTCAGTTGAATGGTTTAGCTGTAAATCCTTCAAGGCAAGGCATTTCTGAACTACAGATCATGAAATATATTTTTCAGACGAGATATCTGTATCTTCAGACATCACTTATCTGCATATACATATATATTGCATATGTATGTATATTGATTGTTTCACAAATAGGCATTAAAATTCATGGAACCAGCGCCATCTTATTTCCTTAAAAGAATGTCATGTTTTCATTTCCATGAATCTGGTGTGTATGTTCAGGGCTGCAATGTCTTCAGTGTCTGACAACAAGATCACACACACATTGTACATGAGATGTCGGTGAATATATAACATTCTATTTATGATTTCAGCTGGGAGCCCACAAGTCGCAACAAGAGGTCACGATAACGGAGAAAAAACAGAAATATGTTGTTAATTGTAATGTTATATACATGTAGATATTCAATAAAATGTGCTCTCATCACTCTTATTACTCGTTTAAATCTCATTTGTGAATTACGGCTTGAAAGGCCATGGTGGATTCCAGTTTAATAGCCCCTGGAGATGCCAGCTTTTGGAGGATTATGTCCTAATAACAGGTGAATCTGGCTTAAAAGACGCTGGGGAATATTAGCTTAATAGCCCTTGGAGATGCCAGCTTTATAGCTTTTTGAGGATTTTGTCATTATTGCTCTTGGGGGATTCCTGAATAATAGCTCCAAGGTGATTCTGGGTAATAGACTCTTGGTGATTCCACCTTAACTCCTAGGAAATTTCAGCTTAGTAGCTCCTGGTGAATTTGGATTCGAGCTGAATAGCTCATGGGGAATCCAGCTTAACACTAATAACAGCCTCTGGGGGATTCTGGCTTAACAGATCCAGGATTACATTCCCTCAGCTTGAGTAAGTCACAGGGGATTCCAGTCTACTAGTAGCTCTTAGTAGGGATTCTAGTCTACTAGGACATGGGGGATTCTGGCTTAGTAGCTCACAGGGGATTCTAGTCTACTAGGACATGGGGGATTCTGGCTTAGTAGCTCACAGGGGATTCTAGTCTACTAGGACATGGGGGATTCTGGCTTAGTAGCTCACAGGGGATTCTAGACTACTAGGACATGGGGGATTCTGGCTTAGTAGCTCACAGGGGATTCTAGTCTACTAGGACATGGGGGATTCTGGCTTAACAGCTACTGGTAGATTCCAGGTTATTAGCCCTGATGGATTGGGTGGCCAGCCTAAGCTTGTCATGGTGCCTCCACAACATGGATCATTGCTTATAATTTGTAACTATTAGTAGACACTGTTATATAACAAGAATACTGCCGAGTGTCGCTTTAAACTTAATTCAAGGAAGTTATTTTGTTGTGTAAACAAATCAATGCAAGGAAAAGTTCTATTTCCTCCTGTATATCGTGTTATCATTCATTGTTAACGGTAACACGCATACCCACACATAGACCCCCAACCCCCAATACACACTTGTGGGAACTCTTGGTTTGAATGGGACAAGGTCATGCAGACTCGAAAGTTGATTGGTTGGTCAGTCTCCGCAACATAACAAACTGTGTGTCAGCATGTTTGCAACAAGCCAGACAGACGGACAGTTTTATTCATATATTCAAGGCCATGGCCCATACTACAGTATGCTGTAACAAGGGTGTACATTGCCGGTACCTTACCAGTGTTGTCAAATGATAATCTGAGAAGCTGTCGTAAAATTACAACAGATATGTTATACCAAATTATCAAAGTATATTTCAGCTCATTAGCTAAAAATCTAATCATAAGTTGATGTAGTTCTTATCTTAGGGACTTTTTATAAAAACTTTGCTAAACTTAACAATTCATTTTGGTCACTACTCGACATGATTCTAACAAAAGTGTCTATAGAATGGTTATTTCTTTTGCTTGGATGAAACATTCTATTCTTACAACACATGCTCACAACATGGAACGTTCATCAACTGGTGGTTTGTGTGCCTTAGATCTAAATACCCTGTTGTCAGAAGCTTTAAACTGCAAACGCACCAAGCAATACATTTTTTACAAATTATATTTTGCTTTCCCTACTGTTATGGAATACTTGAAAGATATGGTATTTTTGCCCAAAACAGCTTTTAAATGAATTTAAACCGTGAAGATCCGGGTTAGAATTGGTCTTCAGTAACCCATGCTTGTCTTAAGAGGCGACTAAGGGAATCGGGTGGTCAGACTCGCTGACTTGGTTGGCACATGTCATCGTATCCCAATTACGTTGAACGATGCTCATGACGTTGATCACTGGATTGTCTGGTCCAGACTTGATTATTTACAGACCGCTGCCATATAACTGGAATATTGCTGAGAGGCGTAAATCTAAACTCACTCTCTTTAAATGTATTTAACCAACATTTTTTTTATATAGTTAATTACAGTATCTTATGCTTGTTGTGTGAGAGGACTAAAATGAATCAGATGGTCTGGCTTTGTGTCTTTAACTGTCATATGCAGATGGCATGGACCTACATCATAATGATGATGCACATAATTTACAGGATGTTGTGATGTATGGGGAAAATTGCAGACTGCATTGTTAAAAATATACTGTTATATACTGAACAATAAAAGAAACTTCACATGTGTTACTTTATGTTCCAAACACACCGATATAGAACTAAGAGTGTGCTAGTGGATAATCTGGTTTATGGACGTAATGCGCATACACGAAAACAGGATTAAGCATTTAGGCAGCGCTTGGTGCACCCTCTAGTCAACAGTAGCATGTGACGTTGCAGTTGTAAAACGATCATGCAAATAATGTAGCCAAATTTGATTGTTCTCAGCATGTGACATGACATTTACATCTGGTTTTAACAGAAATTAGTATATAAAGACCACTATATGAAGGTGTCACTGCCTTAAACTACAAATCTATTTTGTACTCTAATAAATCATTGTATTTTCTGATATTAATTACTTCAATTTTGTAATGATTTTTGTTGGTGTAAAAAAAACTAATTTTGAAAATAAATCTCTAGAGTCTATATGTCAGGGGAGCATCCTCCCGTCTCCACAGAAACATTTTTCCCAGAGGAGCATTTCCCCCCACTGCAGTAACCGTTGGACTTCATGATTTATGTGGAACACACATACTCCATAAAAAATATTCTTGTTTCTCATCACTTTTTCAAAACAAATATTGGTCAGCGGGCAGATTTTATTTTTACATTTTATTTCATTTTATGTCCAAAAACCTCTGATTTCTGTGGAAATGTACACCTTTTGGATGTAGGTCCACCTTTTCTCCGATAGAAAGTCAAAACTTAGAAGCGTAAAAAAATCATGCACCTTTTGATAGTCAAGGCTGCATTTCTCTAGTGTAAAAAATATTTTAAAAACTTCGGGTCGGGTCCAATTTTTGGGTCGGGCGGTAATGAGAAACAAGTAGATCTAGGGCCCTAATTCTGAACAAGTTCTCAATACTTTTGCTTCAATGAATATCTTACTATACTTTAACTCTGATGACTGGAATCATAAGGTATACACTTGGTGTGTGGAAAAGTTTAAACAGATGGGAAGGCTTGAGAAAGCGGTACACGATGTTGAAGCGGCGTACTGCAGTACAGCATTCTTCATTCACTCTCAGAGAAACCAGCTAGACCGACAAGCTTCAACGCGGTGACCGCCCCTAATGATTTACGCCTCACGTTCCTAACGTGTTTGACCTATTTCATAAAGATATGAAAGATACGACTTTGTAAGTTTCCAGGAGCAATGATAACTCAGTCCTGTAATATATTATATAAATATTATGTAACCACACAACAGTACGTCCCATCACATGAAGAACACGAGTGTTGACGTCTATTTTTAGCCAACCACACACCATTTTTCTTATCCAATCATATTTGTGCTATATAGGGCACCTAGTTTCGTCCAATAAATGTTGTCGTAACAAACAGAGGCTTCAGTTATGGCGGCTGTTGGAAAGATGGGCAGCCGAAGTACTCTTCTGCTTGTGATAATATGCCAATTAACGACGTTATTAGATGCTAAATATCCGGTTGTACTAGGTACGTATTGCGTGTTTTACTGATGAGTTGTTATTTCATATATGTACGAAATTTCGAACACTTGGATACAGACCCGTTTGAAACCGGGCAAAATAACAAAAACTCGCCAAGCCAACTCATGAAGTCATGTCATGATCAATGACGTGAAACGTGGTGTTTCACTGACTGGATCATCAGATGTACCTTAATGGGAAAAAATAACGGAACATGTATGAAAGTACATACGATTGTGCGCAACGTCATCTCGTCTCGATCTGTTTTTTTGTCATGTTGGTAGTGATGTATGTGGTCAAACCGTGTGTACAATGTCGTGTGTCCTGTATGATATGTGGGCGTTAGTAATGCACTGGTAAGGGTAGGTTAGCCTCACAACACCCTAAGACTTCACAATCATTAGTATATGACACACCCCTTAACCAATTTGATGGGACATCATGGGGTAAGTATATCGCAAGTATATTCCTACATAACAGTAAATATGCTTTTTAGTGAGTTTAGTTTTACTCCGCACTCAGCAATATTCCAGCTACAGCGGATGGCCATATTATTACGTACAAACATGGCAGACCGATTGTTGACGACAAATTTACGTTGGAGTTCAAAGTGTCATAACTCGTTAAATATAAACATTCTTACCTCAATATTTTGTGATGTGTCCGTTGTTCCTTCTTAATTTCAACATCCGCCTTGGAATCGATGAATAAAGATTTCTGATGATATCGAGGGGAATATTTTCCCAGATGTCCCGCACTTCGCGTTCCAAGTCGGCAGCCGACTGAATGTTTCTTCGGCGTCCCTGAAGTCTATTCTTCAGGTAGAGCCAACAGTTCTCAATAATATTTGCGTCTGGACTCTGTGCAGGCCACAACATTCCAGTAATGTCATTTTGTCGCTTGTAATCTTGAATGACACGGGCCCGATGTATATGGACGTTATCATCTTTGAAGATGTAGTGGTTTCCCGGAAAATGTCTGGCTGTAACAGGCCAAATCATATCATCGATGTTTTCTGTGTATTCCTGAGCCTTTATGTGCCATGAACAACACAAATGGTACCAACACCATGCCAGGTGATACAACCCCACACCATCAAACTGACGTGTGGCTGTCATCCCGGACGAAGACATTGCGGGAGGCATTCTTCACCGGGCTGTCTCTAAACAAAAACACGATTGTTTTCCCCAGTGATAATTTTACACTCGTCAGAGAAGATTACTCGATTCCAGTAATTTTTCACTGTACGATATCGTTGCCCCCTTGCCCAGGCCAAACAATTTCTGACATTATAGTCACGAATTCGGATTTTCTTTCTAACAACACGTCTGTGAAATTTATTTTCATATAATCGTCTCCTTACAGTCCTCACCGATACACATGTAGCCCTATTGTTGTTCAAATTCTAGGTTATTTCACCCAAAGGTGAAATGCTATTGTCTCTGACCAACCTCAAAAGTTGTTGATTGTCCCGAGGAGTCAGTTTTCTCATACGGCCTGTTCTGAGAGCATTCTCGACTGATCCATGTTGATTACACCGCTTTACCACCGAATATACGCTGCTTCGAGGCATTCCAAAGAATCTTGCAATGTTAGAACATTTTCTGCCACTTTGAAACTTTTTTGACAATTAATTTCTTAAGTGACTCCGACAAATCAGCCGATTTCCCCATTGTTGCCGGAAATAACCAGAATATGTAGCAGACGACAAGTGGATTAAAAATAGTCACGTGACAGACACATGACATCATGGTCGATCATGTGACAAAATATTAAGACGATACTCGGTGTCATGTTTGAGTAGCAGTATTTTAAAAACGGGCATCACTATACACAATATCAACGCTGTTACAATTGTACGTAATAATATGGCCACGCGCTGTATATGGCGGCGGTCTGTAAATAATCGAGTCTGGACCAGACAATCCAGTGATCAACAGCATGAGCATCGATCTGCCCAATTGGGAACCGATGACATGTGTCAACTAAGTCAGCGAGCCTGACCATCCGATCCCATTAGTCGCCTCTTACGACAAGCATGGGTTACTGAAGACCAATTCTAACCCGGACCTTCACGGGGTCCTATATGCTTTTTTTAGATTTGTGTGGGGAAATAACTGCATGATTGACGGTGCTGATCACTAGGTTGTAGATTTGAAATTGATAAAGATAATAGAGTGGAAGTGAAACATTTAGTGAAAGCTTCGGATGTCGGCAACACAAGGGAAATAGAAATAATTGGACAAAGTCGTACAGGGATCTTCATTTATTGTTATTGCAGTCTGTATACTTAGTGCAGCTAGTAGCATAGTGTAAGACAGGGTTTCTTGTCCAGTGGTCCCAAGAATGCCAGAACTAATCACAATCCAGAAGGGCACTTTCATTATTTGTAAGTCTGCATCCTGATCACATGTATAGCCCAGTTTAAGTCAAACTCAAACATTGCCAACTTACCACAGTCCACATGGAAAACCAAAGTAACAGATGCCAACAAATTGCAAAATTGGCTTTATAACTTTAGATTATACAACTGAGTAGCTATTATTACTTATTCAATAAATAATTATCAATAATAGCGTCCCATTTAGTTGCACATATGAAGAAATATAATTTATGTTTGAGCTTTTGGATTCATTAAGACTTCTTTGATCTCTGCTTTTTTCACATTTATTAAATATTAGAACTGCACAAAACTAAGAAACTTCAATAAGCAATTGATCCGTTTGAACAAACCTGTTCTCATGGTGAAGATAGAAGATCAAATTCCCACCTACAGTCTGTTTGAGTCAGAAACGGACTGATGAATTGCAAATTTTATCATTGTACAAAATTGCCAAGGTGTTAGAGAAAGGATGGAGACGGCACAGGCTAATGAATCAATAACTTGGTGGGCACTTGTGCACGTGCTTCTCTAACACCTGGTTGTCCCTTTCTCTGCACTCCTCCCTCGTAACAAATAGTGAACTGTGTCAAAATTTTAATGATAGTTTCTTAAAGAACTTTTTTGGTGGAGTCCGGAAAATTTTCAAATATAAGAAAGCTGTTGGGTATTAGTAAATGATAAACGTGTACTATTTATATTTATGTGGCAATTTTGTACAATGATAAAATTTGCAATTCATTGGTCCGTTTCTGACTCAAACGGACTGTAATGCAAACTAAAGACCATAAAAATTAATGATGTAATTTGTGTTTCTACTAATTATGACCTGTGATGTTCCTGGTTAGAATTTATCTTCAGAAACCTTTGTCATGAGAGGCATCTAAAGGGGTCAGGTTGTCATGCCTGTCTACTTGATTGATGCTTGACATGGTATCCCATTCATACTGATTCACCGCCATCATATTGCTGGAATATTGCTAATTGCGGTCGTTAACAACAAACCAACCAACATCGTACTGATTCATGCTCATAATGCCATGCTCTGGATTATCTGATCAAGACTTATCTATTTACAGTCAAAGCTGGGGTATTGCTTCGTGCAGAGCTAAACAAATGAACAAAATATTTTTGTTACAGTTCCTGGTGATGGTGGCAGTCAGTTTTTGGCCAAGCTGAACAAGACAACTGGACCACATGAATTCTGTCGACAGAAGACAACCGAGTACTTTAACTTATGGCTCAACTTGGAGGAGCTGGCCCCTTATGTTATAGATTGCTTTGTAGATAATATGAAGTGAGTAGATTTTTCCATGTCATTTTTTGTACAAATAATTCACTACTATGACAATATTCTTATGTAATTCCTTTAAGTAATCTTTCATTTTTTTCATAATGTTGTTTTTTCTAATTGAATGTTTTTGCTTAACTTCAAGAATCGGTATTGTTTCCACCAAAAGTCCTTTTCCCAAACACCTGCTTGAATATGGATATTATCAAAACAGTTAACTGAAGTATTTCAATTGTCCAGGGTATATTTCCACCCAATTGTGATAATTACACTGGCTTCATTTCCTACCATGGTTTTGAGCTGGAGGTAAATGACACAACACTAATGATAACCATCCAATCAAATAGCTTTTAAGGTCTGAAATATTTAAGTGTTATGTGTGATGACTAATATTCTATGCAGGCAAACCAAGTTTTGTTATATATGTTTCTTTGTTGATTCCCAAGTAGGAACTAAAAAGTCAACCAGGAATTGGTCTGTAAATGAATATAATATAATATAATACAAAAAGCCGTGAATATAGCAATGAAAACATTGATGGTAATATTCACCTCTGCAAACATTAATCCAACTTTATTTTAAAGATATCTGCAGATCTAGTCGAAAGTTTTACAGTTAGTTTTTTGTTACCTGTGTTTGGGCTAGTTGAGGTCACATTCTGCTTGACCGCCTCCGTGGTGTAGTGGTTAGAGCGCCCGCCCGGAGTGCGGAAGGTCGCAGGTTTGATCCCCGACTGCATCATACCAAAAGACGCTAAAATATGGTACTTGTTGGTCCCTCTGCCTGGCAGCTCGGCATTAATGGGTACAACAAGGACTGGTCGGCTCAGAGTCAGTATAATGTGTCTGAGTAGGGTATTCATACTTCACTGCAGCATGGTATCTCAGTGGGCTAGCACTATAAAACCAGCTTCAGTCTGGGCTAGTACAAGCAGCCGCACACAACACACGCATGCACGTCGTCATATGAGCGAAATATTCTCAAGCACGACGTTAAACCAAATTCCACCACCACCACCACATTCTGCTTGATAGTTCAAACCTTCAGGATGCAGTGTCAGTAATAGGATGATTGATGACCGCATGCACAGTACCCTTTGATCTGTTTTTCATGTTTGGCCTCCTTGTTTCCCCTATCCTGATGCATGTTTCAAATCTCAGTCATATTTAGTTTCAATGTGTGTACTTTGGTTGATGTATTTCCAAGCAGATTTGTAGGTAAAGCAGTTTTAGGAGGCAAATAACATTTGAAATATCGTGTGTAAATCCTCGAAGCATGTTTAGTGGTGAGATTTGATGACTTAATTATTTATGTGTTACTGAAAAATAGCTGGAATCTGGTTGAGTTTCTCTACAAGTAACAACCAAACATTTCACTATCCTTAACCTTAATTCAAAGCTTTTTATCAAGTTTCAAATGTCTTCAGTAAACTGATGCAGCCTTGGGTAAAAATACATAATGGTTCATGTCTCATCTTGACCATAAAAAGTTATAGGAAAGATTTTTAGCTAAATTTCTCAAAGGTTCGTGTAAACAGTTGATTGGAAAACCGAAAACACAGGGGTGGAAATAACCTGTTGCCCGACACCCCAGTCCACTGGGTTTTTTCTGTCGGGCAAGCAAATTTGTATATCACGCTGTACCAGTGTCCAGTTGACTTTCCAATGTTAATTATATTATTTATTTAAAAAATCAACAATAAAATCGGGCAGTATAGTGGAAAATTATCAGGGCAAGTGATTTTATATGTGCCACTGTACTGGAGTACACTAGCAATTTTTACGTTATTTCCACCCCTGAAACACACAATTGTTTGGGACTTTTTTCTTTTGTTTTGTTCTGGAAGAACTTCCGTAACTGTTATCATGCAGTCTGCACATATCCTTCAGTCCCTCCTTAACCCACTTGATGTATATTTTGATTTGTCTGTTGTGTCCCTGCCAACTAACCCTTGCCAGGTTAGGCTACATAAAAAATATATTTTTGTTTCTCATCACTTTTTCAAAAAAATATGGGTCAGGTGGGCAGATTATATTTTTACATTTTATTTCATTTTATGTCCCAAACCCCTTGATTTGTGTGGAAATTTACACCTTTTCTCTGATAGAAAATCAAAACTTAGAAATGTGAAAAATTCATGCATATTCAACGAGTAAAAGTTGCATTTTGTCTAGTGTAAAAAAATTTAAAATATCTTAGGGTCGGGTCAAATTTTTAGGTCAGGCGGTAATGAGAAACAAGACTATTTTTATATATGGCCTTATGCTGGCTTACAACAGTCAGCATGTGTTGTTTGTGTTCACCACCCACAGTGACTTGTTTCTCTCTCTGCTGCAGACTTCATTATAATGCAACTACACATACAACAAGCAATACTCCTGGTGTGGACATCGTTATCCCTGGTTTTGGGAACACGTCTAGTGTAGAATGGCTTGACGCTGATTATTTTTTGCACATCTCATCCAGTAAGTTCGTGCTACATAACCTTTTTGTATCTAACCCAGGGCTGCATGTGGGTTTAGTCAAAACTTCATCTGTGAACAGTGTTTCCATGCGGGAGAGATTTGTATTTTGACATGTTTGTTGAAGTGATGCAAATGAATTTAAGTGTCATCGACCTTTTTCATTTTCTTGTCACAATCAGTCTTTGGAAATAGAGTGTCAACAAATCCATATTGAATTATGAAAATAAATCCAATTACGCTGTCTAGTAATCAAACATGTTTTTTGCACATTGAAAAATGTTCATATTAATTGCCACAAAATCTGTGTCCCTCGGTAAAAAATACTACTTCCGTTACCTTATTCAAAGCAACCACAATCATATTATTGCAGCCACTCACACCTCGAATGAAGTGTAGTTGACAGTAATTATAATAATGCCTCGTGTAGATTGTTTGTTAATACATACCGACATCCATTACCTCAGTGATATATATTAATTACAGGTGATCAGGTCTAGTAATCTAGCATTGCTCCGGACATGATGAAACATTCAACTGAGTAGACAACAGCTGAATATGTCTAGGGAATCATCTTTACTTGCTCAGAGGTTGATATTTGACCAGAAGTCTGCTGCAAATGTCATTCACATTACCCAAACTGGTAGCAAACATTTTGGGATTTCCCAGTAATTGCCAAGTTCGTGACTTTGTATGATTACCCTGTTTTTCAATGGTAACAGGAGCAATAGTGAATGAGCAAACTAGTAAGAGCCTTCAAAAAGGTTTTAACATCGAACTTTTTTAACTGAATATGATCTCAAAATGTCATGTTTAAATATCAATACCTCTGAATTTAAGAAATTAGGACCTTTAAAAAATCCCAATTTAGAACAAAACGTAAAGTTTTCTGAATTAGGCCAACAAGGGTGCTTAGTTTGAATCCAAGGTAAATCCCTGTTTTCTGAGGATTGTTTGTCAGCATATTCATTTCACGTCACCTCATGTCTGGATACTCAGGGGGTGATGGGGTAGCCTAGTGGTTAAAGTGTTTACTCATCACGCTGAAGACATGGGTTCGATTCCCCACATGGATACAGTGTGTGAAGCCCATATCTGGTGTCCCCAGTTGTGGTATTTCTGGAATATTGCATAAAGCTGTGTAAAACCATACTTGCTCACACAATTGATACTCAGACAAAAAATTATTACTGACAGAATAAAGTTTGACCGGTAATAAAATTTGCCTGAAATTCAGATGCGTGAGACCTTTGGATCTGCACAAACACAGTAGTCCAACAAATATGAAAGCACAACAATATTAATGCCTTACGGAAAACAACTAGGGATTCGATGTACCTGTACCTGTATATAAATGATATGCATTGTGCATGTTTTGATGTGAATATTCTCAGTCAATAAAATCAATTCCAATTCAAGTAAGGATAGTGTATGTGTCCTTGTTGTATTCAGCCATTGTTTAAATTAACAATCTATGACGGACAATTTCCTCATGATTGTTCTATCAACTTCCTGGTATCTGATATTTCATACAGCATGACCTATCACAATTATCAAAAGAGTCATCATTATTGTGGTCTTCAGGAGTAAGAAGGAAGTATTTGTTATCCGTTGATTCTCCAGTTAAAGTGCAGTGAAACCATGGTTAAATTGTTTTCATTTAATTGATGAAAATTCAGTCTCTCCTGAAGTGAAACACTGTTCAAAGATTAAGTTTGTTCTTCTGTTAGAGCGCAATTCTGTGAACTCAAGATGAAAATTGTTTTCTCGCAGGCTTCTCTATGATAATACAACGCGTAAAACCAGAAACCAAGTTGGGGTAGACATTGTCATCCCCGGATTTGGCAACACTTCATCTGTTGAATGGTTAGACTCCAGTCAGCTCTCAGCTAGTAAGTTCATAAGGGTTCACCATTACATAGAGTTTGTATACTGAAGAATTTTGTATGGACAGCAAACAGTGGCCACATTGTTATCTCCAAGGTTGCTCTTATCTAGAGTCAAACCTCATAACATTCTTATTATCACAATTATCTAAAGACATTTTCCATGCTAACAATCTCTTGATGTTCATATTCGATCACAGCAGGAAATATATTTACAAGTATGATGTACAGTGAGTTAAAAATATCATTTAGTTGATTTTAGTGTAAGGGTTTACAATAGGTTGTTTGTAGTCGACTGTTTGGCACGAAGGCATTCTTCTTCTCAAACTCTGTTACCTACAGTAACAACTGCCCGTGTCACAAATGTAGGTCGTATTCCATGAGTGAGAGAAGCCACATGCTTACATGCATCAGGAATGATAAGGGTGTTTACATCATACAGCGTGTGGTAACACAGGGCTTTATCTTGACCTGCCCAGTGGCCAGTAATTGACCACAAATGTCTATTTTTAGCCCTGTCACGCGTATCTCCTTTCCATAAGTGTTACTGATTAATGCTTATATCTCATGTCCATTGAATCTGCAATCATGATGAAGGGATTGTACCCAAAATAATGATAGCAAGGCTAGGTGTTATCATGGACAGAACATGTACTATAGATATGTGCAGCCTTGGGGTAATATTCATTGTTTTATTGAGACTATCAAGTAAAATGTTTATTTTTCCTTATCCTGACTCATGCTCTTTTGCTTGTCTTCTTCTTCTTGCGAACATAGTGGAACACTTGTATCTCCTTATTTGAAGCTCCCTTCAAAATAAAATCACTAATTGGTACTCACCACGAGTTGCTCCCCTTTGCTTCCCCTGGCGGGAAAGGTGTCGCCACCCTCTGGCCATGTGCTTCACTCTCTCCTTCTTCGCCCAGTGAGCAGGATGTGAGAGCGCCTTGTGTCTCCTTACACACCATATCCTTTGATAATCTCTTAGTTTTTACCTCTCATAGGTTACTATAGAGGTATAGCTAGTATCCTTTACTATTTGTATTGATTAATTATCATTATTTCTACTGTTTATTCCGCGTGTATTAAGTGATTGTTCAGCTAACTTCGTTGATGAAAATCTGTCACGATTTGTAGATTACGTTTTTCTGCCTCCGATCCACATGTAATATGCCCTAGTTGTTCTATGCGTGTGCGTTTAATTCCGCGTTGCAGTTACTGCATTAATTTATCTCATTCTGCATTTAATAAATATCATCTTTTCGCGTCTTAAGGCGTGCTGCAGATAGATCCACGCAAACAAAGGGCAAAACATGGCAGAGAGTCAGATATTCCATCCAGTCAGCTGCTAGCGATCGACCCTCTCCCGTCTGGTGTTCTGCTAGAGACCCCTGCGGCAGAGGCGTGGGGCGCAGATCCGTTACCTCGAAGAAACGACCGGCCTCCCAGACATCCCGTCATTGCAGACCAAGTCTAAGAGGGCCTCATCGTCCGTCTCCAGCGCCAGATTGAGGACACCCAGGGCAGCGCCAGAACTTCAAAGGGAAATCTGAAGACAGCAAGAACTTTCTCAGCGAGATCGTTCCAGCAGCAGAATTGGGCCTCTCACGATGATCAGCCGATAATCATCCCGACTTCACGGCAGAAGAAGCGACCCGTGTCAGCGACTGTGACTTCTGCAGAGATCACCATGCAGCCTGATGCCTCTACACCGGCGTCAGGCGTCATTGATGTGAACCCCATCGAAAAGAGCGCCCGACGACTTCGTCTAGATCATCCCAGAAGACATGATCGCGGCAGATTATGAACATCATGGAGGACCACTACAAACTGCGCCAAGCAGTGAACCGCGAAGGCTCCAAGCGTGAACAGCACCCCAGAGGCACCCCGTCAGCGTAGCAGCCAAAGGCGATGTCACCTTCGCGAAGAAGTCCCGCACCACCTTGATGAAGGACCTAGATGTACAGCCTTGGCGAAGGCCTTCAGCGAAGCGGAGAGATCATCACCATCTTCGATTTCATCTCTAGATATGGACTCAGACCATCAGACATCACGGAAGCCTTCGAAGGTCATATCATCGATCCCCGGACGGACGCAAATGAAGCTTCGAAGGCATTCGCGAAGGACATATGATTCCAGATCTTCATCATCTAGAAGAACATCGAAGGACTGCTGCAGAGCTTGGCGAAGCTATCAACATTCACCTCACAAGTCTCGAGAAGATCATCCCATAGGCGATCTCCGCCGTTCATCACCAGGTCGATCACCTGTCAGATCTCCACATAGAAGCGGCGCAAGTCAACTAGATAAGCCACAAACCTCTTCAGATATACAGACAGCTACCGCGCGGTCCCGAAGAGCATCTACAATTTGTTAATGATGATGGTTTTGAGGATGATGGAGGAATCATATTTTCTGATGCAGAGATCACGGTATTGGATGGTCAATAACCTAGATCTCACATCACCATCTAAAAGTGGCAATACAGGCGCAGGCGTATTTGATGAAGGAAGATGATCCAGATGCAATCACTCTACCCCGATCGACCCGATTAGCGGCAGTGCCACAGAATCTAGATGCAGCTTTCCAGAAGCTCTGAAAGTTCAGATACCACATCTGCCCAACTTTCAAGCCAAAGAAGTTCTCCACGCATAACATGGACTCCTTCTACAAGGCCCAGGACATCGATGAGAACTATAAGATCATCAGCGATGTAAAGAACAAGATTTACAAGATGGATGATGCAGTTGGCTCATATAGAAACCATGACGAGGCGTTATGTTCTTTGGGTTAAATAGATCTAGGGGCGATCAATGAGACTCTTATTACTAGATTCGGGATTCCACGACGGAAGATGATAGAATGATTTATTCTGCCTTACTTATGCAAAGATCAGCAGTTTTTAGCGGATCATCTTACATCTGTTTCAGCAGCACTGACCTTAGCTTCGTCGTCAAGGCCTCCTCGCTTCCTGTAATTGGGGAGAACTTTACAGCCCACTTTATACAGCCCGTGGTCGACAACATCCATCTTTGACGGAGAAATCGACAAACTTCGCCAAGGAAGTCTCTAAGGATTCCAGGGAAGTCCTTATGATTAGATCGATGGACACACTAGCCAGCGTCATTAGTCAGACTTCACAAAGATACTCAGGCAGATCTAAGTTCACGGGCCTACAAAGAGCAAGAGACAGGAAGATAGCCAGCTCTAGAGGTAAAGATTCTTTTAATTAGCCCATATGGCAACTATAGAGGAGGATCAGGAAGAGGCAGGACACCCAGAGGTTCCACTTAATTATAGGCGGCTGAAACACAGGTTGAACGACTGGAGTCTTCCACCCTCAGCCGTTCCAGTACAAGCCAGCTCAAGTGGGTGGGCGCCTCCAACTACACTGGGAAAACTGGGGAATATTGCAAGACCCTTCGTCTCCAACATTCTTCAACAGATTTATTATCCTCTACAGGCCAAGCCTCCGCTGACAATCAAACCCCAAGTTCGGTTACAAAGCAACAACTACCAAAATAAGATAAGAGGCTGTTTCATCACTCCTATCCAAACAGGCCATAGAAGTAATAGATCAAGCAAGCGTCGAACCAGGTTTCTACTCCCCAGTTTTCCTAGTTCCCAAGAAAAACTCCGCGGAGAAATACAGACTCATCTACAACATGAGCTTTTTCAACAAGAACTATCTCGCCAAACCACGAGTTTACATGATACATTTACCTCAGTTACGCCAGATGATTAGTCCTATGGACTACATGGGCAGCATAGATCTACAGGATGCCTACCTGCATCCCCATTCATCCCGTTCCAGGAAATACCTACGATTTACTCTAGAAGGGCTACATTACCAGTGGAAAGTACTCCCATTGAATATCATCAGCCCCTGGCTATTCACGAGATAACGAAACCGATTATCAAATTTCTACATCGTCAAGGGCTCGCGTAGTCGTTTTTACCTCGACTGACCCGGGATACAAGTAGATCAAGATCCACTGCGTCTCAAACTACAGTTAAATTACATCATAAAGCTACTAACACAACTAGGGTTGGTTAGTAAACTTCACAAAAGTCGGACCTAGTACCATCGCCAAGACCTGCAGTTCCTAGGTATTCGATTCATCACAAATCGCAACCGTATTTTGGTACCAGAAGACCGTTGGCTCAAGATACAGCAGACCATTCCACCAGCTCTACTCTCTCCGTTACCACTGGCGACAATGGCAGAGCCTACTAGGTCTTCTCATCAGCCCAAGACATGACTGTCACAGGCAGATTACAGTTCGTCCCCTACAGGTCCTCATCAAGCGCACATCTCAGCGATGTACAACCATTCAGTCTACCCGAAACATCTCAGACCGCATCTACTATGGTGGACCAAGAAATCGAATGTCTGCGAAGGGATTTGTTTAGCAGAGCAGGAATACAAAACCCATCTGTATGTAGGCGGCGTCACTCCAAGGTTGGGGAGCTCATCTCACCAACCACGATATCAGGGTTATGGAATCAGCAAGAATGCAAACTCCATATAAACAGTCTAGAAATGAAAGCTGTAATCAGCGCCATTCTACATTGGAGCACATTTCTACAAAATCTTGGCGCCTAATGATCCATACAGACAATTCGACAGTGGCGTTCTACATAAACAAGCAAGGCTCAACGAGATCGATGAACCTTTTGAACCTAAGCTTTCAACTGTTCGATTTAATACAAGATCTAAATCTACATGTCAGAGCAGTGCACATTCCCCGAGCCAGAAATATACTAGCAGGCGGCTCTCTCTGCGGCCTCATCTACCATCACCGACAGAGTGGATGATCAACAGGGAAATTTTGCACAGATAATCAAGCAATTAGGAGCCGCTAATAGACCTATTAAGCCCGCGTTGATTCAACAATCAGCTACCGACATTAGTGTCACCAGTCCCAGACCCCCAAGCTTGGGCAACGGACGCCTAAGTCTATCATGGGAAGGCCTCAATGCGTCTCGCGTTTCAGCGCATAGCAATGATACCTCAAGTATTACAGAAAATCAGACAAACACAGAGCCTACAACTCACTTTGGTCGCGCCTACTGGCCGTGCCAGAACGTGGTTTCCATACTAATTCAAGAAATGGGTCAACCAACACTGGAGCTACCCAAGCCATAAACCTGTTAATTCATCCTCACACCAAACAAGTGCACGGAAACCCAGCAATGTTCCAACTACACGTATGGACTGTATACAAATGTGTTTAAACAAGAGAGGATATTCTGCCAGGCGGCAAAAGCAGTCATGCTTGCCTTTACGTTACTCAACTCGTGGCACTTGTACGACGACAAGTGGCACAGTTTCAAAAATTATGCAACAAAGAAAGGGTTTACAGCAAGAGAGGCTTCACAACCTCAAGTGGCAGACTATTTGTGTTACCTACGCCAAAACAAACATTTAAAAGGTTCAACGATTTCAACATATCTTGCGGCGCTTAGTTCTGTAATCACCATGAGAACGGGTGTCAAATTGACAAGATCTCCAGAGTTACTGGCCTTACTACGAGCTTTCCGATTGGAGGACCAAAAGCGGAAGTTCCACGCCCCAGCTTGGGATCTGAATGTAGTGTTACAACACCTCACGAGTGAGGTCTATGAACCTTGGAATCGACAAACTTTGAATTTCTCTCACAGAAAACACTGTTTCTGCTATCGCTAGCCACAGCAGCAAGAATGTCTGAAATTCACACTCTGGATTACGAGAGGATACAGTTTGATGACAATCATAACACAAGCACCTCGGGATTAAGATGGGATTTTATCGCAAAAATCAACTGCCAGGTCAACCAGACAGATTATTCCACATCCGGCTATCCTCTATTCTCGGATCAGAAGATACACAAGACCTATCACTGTGTCCGGTAAGAGCGCTCAAAGTTTATTTTCGACGATCCAAAACAAGGAGAAGATTTCTCAAACGTTTATTCATCCCTTATCGCCTACTGAATCAAACAGAAGTGTCACGGACCACAATATCTATTTGGATAAGGACTGTCATTCTCCGTGCCTACAAGGCAGCGAGCTTGGACCCACCAACAGCATCAAATCCACATGAGATCAGGGCACTGGCCTCTACCCCTCGCCCTACGGTAACTGTTCCTTGAACACGATTATGGAAGGATGCTATTGGAAATCTAACATGGTATTTGCTAATCACTACCTGGAGAGACATCACTACAGAAGATGTCTCTGGCATTCACCATTTGGGACCACTGGTCCTCGCTCAGCAACTGACAGTCCCTCAGTGGCGTTAAAATATTATCCTCACAAGATTAATATGTATTTTATACATACTCATCTAGCTTATAACTCTACGGAGTTTTAGGGCTATGTATATATGTTCAGCTTAAGTATTCAACCTTAAGCATATACTTTGGTATAGTCAATTTCAGTGCCTCTATCAGAGTCACCTATATATATATATATAATTTATATGTATTGTTCAATATATTCATAATGTAATTCCCTTTAATGGCTTTATATAACCTATGGTTTTCTTTATACAGGAAACATCCTAAATCTAAGCCTTCATGAAGTTCCGTAGGGATATTACAGTATATCTATACAAAATCACTAATTATAAATCCAAAGTATTCTGTTACCCACCTCCGTTCCGTGTAGGATGCTACAAGCAAAGAGCATGAGTCAGGATAAGGAAAATATGTAATTTTTAGAGTAAAATTGATATTTTATACTTATCCTGACTCATGAAGTTATCCCATCCTCCCCACATAACACTTTGGATTTCCCTGTAAATTCAAGTGTTGGGCTCGCTAAATCAGGAGAGAGTGGAGCACATGGCCAGAGGGTGGCGACACCTTTCCCGCCAGGGGAAGCAAAGGGGAGCAACTCGTGGTGAGTACCAATTAGTGATTTTATTTTGAAGGGAGCTTCAAATAAGGAGATACAAGTGTTCCACTATGTTCGCAAGAAGAAGAAGACAAGCAAAAGAGCATGAGTCAGGATAAGTATAAAATATCAATTTTACTCTAAAAATTACATTTTTGACGTTTCTGTTTTCAGTGACATTTTTCAGAGATTATGAATCTTTTACTAGATATATTGTTTTGCTGGAAACAGTTTTCTTTTTATTTGATGATAAACTTGACACATTTTGTAGATGTACAGCTAAACACATGTTTGTACCTTAAGTTAAGTAAAGACTGGAAACCAAAGTATCTTGTATTCAGCTATTGGAAACACAAAATATAATTGCTGGAACTGAATCATAATGAACATTGTATATACTAATGAGAAGTCCAAAACAATTGTTACCAGCTTGTGACCGAAACAGAATATGATTTGTCAGAAAGGTAACAGCAGTGACAAGTAAACATTAATTGACTCAAGTGTGAATGGTGTCATTCTAGCATCTTACTTCGCCCCGATCGTGGAGGCCCTGGTGAAATGGGGATACAAGCGAGGAGAGAGTGTCCGCGGAGCTCCATATGACTTCAGGAAGGCGCCAAGTAAGTACTGTTTCAGTTCATGATGTACTGATGGGAATAAGCATGGGAATACTGTGTGATGAATCACAGTCAGGACTAGATGATGCAGTAGGTCAGTGCTCAATGGAGACACCCAGTCTCATTAAAACCAGATCTTCATGCTCCCATCCACTACACAAAACAGTAGCAAGCACTAAGAATTTTATAAGATTGTTAGTACACGAGAAACACATTTGAGACTTGCCTTACTAACAAATGAAGTGTGTTTCCACTATTTACTGATCACAGTAAAAGCTGAAAAAAGCAACTATTCATGTGTTCCCTTTTTCATTTCATCAAAATATGTACTCAAAAATTAAATATTGATTTATTGTTTCCTTGTACCCACTAGCCTGAAACTTTAGGTCTGTGACAGTATGTTATGTGTCTGATGGACAAACCTGAATAGTCACAACCCAGGAGTTCATATGCTGCCACACATCCAAAGTTAAAGTATAGTTGGGTTAAAGGTTCTGGTCTCGGCAACACATGGTTTTAATATTTTAAAAACCTCAAGTTTCCACAAATACAAATAATAGTATCTGTCTTTACACTAATATTATAGTGATGTTTTAGGAAGCTGGGTTGTAATTATGCAACTATTACCAGCTAAAATTTCATGGGGGAAACGTATTTGCCGGAGTTGAGATTTTTGCGTCTGATCTGTATGAGAACACAGCCTGCACTGATTCAGGCATGCGCAGTAGCAATCTCATGGAAGCCTGACTGTCACGTGATTAGCTGATAGAACCTGCAATGAAATGCCATGACCATAAGAACATTGTGAAGTCCTTCAAATTCCAACTGGTAACTTCCAAGTAAAAGCTGTTATTTGATTTCCTGAAATATTTATAAAATGGAATTTCACTGAAATCTCTGATTAACTGAGACATGACATTACTGTGTTATTCATGTATGTGTAAATGTTAGTGTCATTATATTAAGGTTAAACACCTTGCGATTAGAAAGCAATACTGTGTACAGGGATCCAGATATTCAGCAGTCACAGGGTCTATACCCCAGTACAGTGTTCGCAGTAAGAAATAGCCCCAAGAATCTTGCGTGTGCATGCAATACAGGTGTATGCCTAAGCCAGAAAGCGGCGAGGTCTTCAGAGGGGTGCGGGGTCCCCCCCCATAAAATTTTGAAATTTAGACGTCATTTCGTTGCATTTTAGAGTATGTTGTCATCATTTGCATGTCAAATTATCTGAGAAAATTTTGTTTTGTTGTTTCCTTTTTGCAAAATACGTTTTTCGGTTACTTGTTCCCAGAACACAGAATGCTTTACGTGCAGAAGACGCAGGTAGAAAATATCATGCATGAAATGTAGATTTATTTGCGTGAAACATGCAGTTTTGGGCGTTAACACGAACACTGCAGTACCTCCTGTGTGTTATAAGAGCAGACTAGAACAGGGATCATGTGTCTTCAGCTGACTCTGTGTGATTGTACCTTGATCACTGGTGAGCCTAGCCAAAGTCAGATTATTTCGATAAGATTATTAGATGAAATAGAAACATATTTCTGAGGTTATAATTTTGTCAATATTTTTTTTCAGATGAATTTGACCTGTTCTACAATAATCTGACATCTTTGATTGAGGACACGTTTGTGAGAAACAACAACACTAAGGTGGTCCTGATAGCCCACAGCATGGGTAACCCCACTACCCTGTACTTCCTCAACCACAGGCCCCAAGTCTGGAAGGACAAGTATATCCATAGCTTCATCACCATCTCAGGGGGTGTGGGGAGGAGCTGTCAAACCACTCCGACTCTTCTCTGCTGGTAGGTAACTTGCTTGCTTGCCTTGCTGTCATGATGGGATTCTGGGACAGAATAGCTATCCGGGACAGATATATTTACGTTTTTGTACTTGTCTAGAGGTCAAGTGGAAACCATCTTAACTTGTCCTTAAAGTTTGTCGCGAAATGTGTTAACTTCTGTCGGTTTGCTGAGTTGAGTTTGGAGAACTGGTAGAGAACTATTGTAGTGAATGTAACGGCTATAAAATGTCCGAGTCTATGCTGGGATTCAAACCTTGAACCTTCTGATCCAAAGCTGGACGCCCTGCCCACATGACCAAAGAGATTAACCCTGTCAGCAAGCTGACATGGTACGGATGTCATCTGTAGGATGACTTCATGCCATGCATCTAGTCAGTGAGTCATGATTTCTACATGTTCTGATCACAGTTTAATAGTAGATTTCTTGTTGTGGAATGTTATTCCATTCTTCAAGCAAGGCAGTTTCAAGTACACAGATGTTCTGAGCCTGATTCTGACATCGTCTCACACATCTGTCCAAAGAGTCCCACAAATGTTCAATTGGATTCATGTCTGGACTTTTGGTTTGCCAAGACATGACATCCATGTGGTTAGCCTGGAGAATCTTTTGTGTGGTACATGCAGTGTGACTTGTGGCATGCTGAAATGTCGTGTTGGCGTTATTGTTAACGGAGAACATGCTGAGCCAGAATCTTGTCCCTTTAGTGCATCACCCTTAGATTTCCACCAACAGAAACAAGAGCTTTGCAATGACCGTGTTAAATTCCAATCCAAACCATTACAGATCTAGCACATCCAAAGCAATCTCTCTCAGCAACATGTGCGTCAGCTTAAGAGTTCATCCCTCTGTCTGTACACCTGATGTACGGGTTCAATTCGCCACATGGGTACAGTGTGTGAAGCCCATTTCTGGTGTCCCCCGCAATGATATTGCTGGAATATTGCTAAAAGAGGCATAAAACCCAACTCACTCTGAGATGATCAGTGGTTACTCCAGTTGCACTGTAATGCTCCCTCAGATGTTGTGTCGAAAGTGAGGATGCACCAAGATGTAATGCAAGCTTTACTATGCCTGTGTGCAACATTTGATGGTTCTGTCGTGAGCATTATTGGGGATTGTTGTTTTATAGGTAATCGTGGGAAAACGAATGTGTTTATAGTGTTTTCATTTAAGATCAAACAACTGCAGTCCATGACAACCAGTCACCCTAACATGCATGCATGACATGTTACTTGGGTTATGAATGTCTTCAGGTTGTAAATGTTTGATAATACTCAATTAACTGTGTGGGTTTGAAACAAGAACATGCCTAGTCTTATCTTGCTAAAGTAAGTTGTTACTGAAACTAAAATAGAAATATGGTTCAGTGAAATCATTTTAAAAATGAGACTTATCTTATCTCCATAATAACAGGGGTGGAAATAACTTTAAAATTGCTAGTGTACTCCGGTACAGTGGCACATGTAAAATCACTTGCCCTGATAATTTGTCCACTATACCGTTTAAATAAACAACATAATTAACATTGGAAAGTCAACTGGACACCGGTACAGTGTGATATACAAATTTGCTTGCCCGACAGAAAAAAACACTGGACTGGGACGTCGGGCAATGGGTTATTTCCACCCCTGAATAATATGTTTGTTTGTTTGTTTATTTAACGTCTGAGTCAGCAATATTAAGGCTATATGGTGGCCGATCCAGGTAGTCACCTCTTACTACAAGCATTGGTTGCTGAAGACCAATTCTAGCCTGGATCTAATTCTATATGTGTAACCTTACATGTACATGTATGTGACATCATAATGTGTTATCCTAGTCTGGTAGTTTAAAAAATACTTGAAAAGGTTCATTTAATTTCAGGTGACAACTTGAATGTTCCCTTTGTTGAGGGTATCAATGTTAGAGAAGAGCAACGGTCCATGCCAAGTTCCGCCTTCCTTATGCCATCAGAGAATTTCTGGTCAGCAAATGAGGTACTGGTCTCCCAGCCCAAGAGAAACTACACAGTCAAAGACTACAAGGCATTTTTCACAGATCTCGGCATTCCAAATGCATACCTCATGCATCAGGACACAGAGAAACTTGTAAAAGACCTCACTCCTCCAGGGGTAGAAATCCACTGTCTTCATGGAATCAATATGCCCACGCCATTGCAATTTCAATTTGGAGAAGGAATGTGGCCTGACACACAGCCTAAAGTGATTACCGGGAATGGGGACGGCACCGTGAACATCCGAAGCTTGCTTGGATGTCTCTCTTGGCAAGGCAAACAGAAACAGAAGGTTTACCACAAAACATTTCCCAAGGCAGAGCACACAGAAATTCTTTCCAATAAGGATGTTTTAGCTTACATTAAAACAGTTGTAAATAGCTAATGCATGAAAATGTTAACAGATTTTTTAAATAGGAAATGAAAGATTGTTTGGGTGATGAAATTAGGATTGGTCAGATTTTATTTAAAATAACAAAGTATCTCGGTCTGATTTGATCAGAATTCCTTGTAACATGATTCATAATTTATAAGATGTATATATGTGTTTGAATACCTGCAAATCAAGGGAAGCTTTTGATGTTAAATTTTGTTTTTAACTCTCATATGACACTTTAAGTTGAAAATACCTGATCAGTAAATATGGACAGTTTTGTAAATGACAGGAATTTTATGGTTAGTTTGTTGCAATCCTCAGGGCTAAATGCATTACTGTATACACAGTGACCTAATCAGAGCCGAAAATGATATTCATGTAGGATTCAGTATTTGTCAGGAACTCTGATTCTTGCATTTGATAGTAGACTAGTCACACTGAACCGTCAGGGATGAACGGATCTTATTGTCTGCCCTAGATGTGTTTATCTGAAGCATGATCATCATACAGATGTAGCTGATCTATTTCCGACTCGTCCTGATGTGACGAGGGAAAATGTCAGTACATAATCACAGTCATTCCATGAGCAACTCAACAATGCATAATGTCTCACTGATTCCTGGGATGTCGTGGTGCATTGTCATATTGACATATCGATAATTTGTTTCATATGTTGATGCAGTACCAGTACAAATTGATGAATGTTAGCTATAAATTTATAATTCACTGTCACTGAAAAGTTTACGTTAATGATAACCATAGTTAAGATAGACAGTCGGAAGGCAGACTGTACAGCAGTCGGAAGGCAGACATTACAGCAGTCGGAAGGCAGACAGTACAGCAGTCGGAAGGCAGACATTACAGCAGTCGGAAGGCAGACAGTACAGCAGTCGGAAGGCAGACTACAGCAGTCGGAAGGCAGACAGTACAGCAGTCGGAAGGCAGACAGTACAGCAGTCGTAAGGCAGACAGTACAGCAGTCGGAAGGCAGACAGTAGCTGTACATCATGGGTTCCTCTATATTATCAATTTCAGGGCTACATGGGCATTTTTTGTTTCACCACATAAAGAAAAATATATCATATTATTTATTAATATATCTCATGGGAACAGTTTGCTAATGAATGTTCCATTAAGCGGGACCTCTAACTGTACCATGTGGAGTATGTTTTGCCTGTATTTATTTTGATACTGTTTGACACATTTTGTCTTTGTTTGGGATGTTTAGTTTCATGTTGAAATTGATTTTGAAAATTCAGGTTTGGTTTTAGTTTGACCAAACTGACTTTGAAATAGTGTAACTGTTCAAATGAAAATACCTTTTAGTTTTATGCCAGTATTGGTATCTTGTCTAATCGGTTTCTAAGCTAATTCAAAACATCAGTGTTCAGGTAGATGTTATGCACAAAAAATGATTTTGATGAAATTTCTGAATAACCTTGAACCATAGAAACGTTCATAAATTGTCTGTGTCAAGGTGATGTGTTTACCAAAGAGAGGATTGTGGAAGCAGCGCAATAAGGAATGTCAATGCAACGTTACCAGCTGGTACAATGGGAGGATATCAAACACAGGGTTCCACTCCAACTTTGGTGTTTACCTGTTTCAATTCATGTATCACTTATGGCAATGGGAATGATAAGAGGCAGATGTTTCCTTCATGTGTTCATGGTGAATTCATTATTAATAAATTTGAGAGATATTTCAAGAATGGTAAGATTCCTACAAATTCAAATCTAAAATGTTTAGACACATCTAATGATGAAGTTAAGGTGGCCCTGCATGGATTAATAGATTGAAATATTGTCAGTCTAGGAAGAAACCGATGATGGGGAAATTGTCTACCTTGGCAAGAAGTTTCGGTTATTTTGCAGTAACTAGAAGTATGACTTGTGTGTCATTATTACTGATCTTTATTTTAACAGTGAGGACTTTCTAAAAATTGTTGAGATAAATTTTCAATTGATCGATACTATATGTATACAAAAGCCTGTAGCACCGAATTGAAAGTTAATTAGAAATGACTTTGTAACTTCAATGTTTTTCAGTTGATTTATTACTTTGCACTGAGTATGGGATTAGGTTTTTTCCACTCCAGTTTTTGCAGACATGTTTAATGACCATGTAATGATCAACCTTGTCACTTTGCACATAATAGCCGTATTATAGATTCAATTTTATCATGGACACTACATAACATGGGTATATGTTGTAGTTTTAAATTATGTATCAGTTCGAAAGAAAGAACTTGAGTTTTACATCCTTCGGGTCTATGCTTTTCCTGTACATGATGTCTGAATGAATTCAATTAATCTCAGTAAGTGCGTGTGTCTTTAAGTTCATTTTGCAGAAATATATGTGAACTGATCTCGTGGACACTTCAAGGTTCATGTGCATCTTTTCCTAACTTTGTACACCGACATACATCATGCTTCTGTACCACATACTCATTCATCATGTGTAACTCTTTGTATAAAGTGACAGTGGATGTGTACATAGGAATATCCTCATTTCATTCTGGTGCTTGCTGTCTGGCATGTCCCCTGTGGGTATTACGGGTTACAATGGGAGCCTGGAAATCTCTGGTGGTCGTGATAGGCAGCCAAATGGTCAGGCTCCGTGACTTGTTGATCGTGTATCACAGTGCTCTGACGCTGTGGATTGTCTTGTCCAGACTTAATTATTTACAGACTGCTATAGTTTTGCTTGAATATTGCTGTGTACAGAATTGAACAGCAGTCGATCCTGCAGGTATTATTTTAGCTGGCCTCAGTTGTATCATTGGGCTAGTATCAAGATATTGGTTGAGGGTTTTGATCCATTTTATTATGATGACAAAATTCCCTCACCTATTTGCCTTTTGTCATCAGCAATGTAAAATAGTGTTCAGTGTATTATCATTGACAAGTGTAAAGTAGACAGTTCCTTCCCAGCCATGTGGTAGGGATCAGCTCAGTTGTCATGTCCTCTGACACACGATATGTGTCTTATCCCTTGACAGAGGTAAAAGGTCAATCTTCTGTTACAATAGCCACCACTATGTCTGTCAAATGCTTTGTTGTATCTCAGGAAAGGTGTATATATGAACCTGATAGGGGATCCACCCCGTTGTGACATGTCACTTGATCTTTACCTAAGTAATCTCTGCTTAACATGAAGTATGTCCAGTCATTCCTCTGTCACAGTCTTTCAACACCACTGATGCTGATTTGAATTAGCATGCTTATGCTGAGTCATACCATCATCATTGCCACTGAAGGCTATGGAGTAATTCTTTAGGCAGTGATTAAGATGTCTTTGAATTTTGGCTTGACCAATATGCAGAGGTAGTTGGAGCACTGATCAGGTGATGGAAGTTGTGAGAACTGAGACCTATAACATGTGTAAGGTAGTGTGACAGATGAAGTCTGTAGCTGTACATGCTCAAGGGCTATACCATGTTTGCTTACATTTCCTTGGTCAGTGTAGTTATACCTTGTTCATATTGGTTCACTAAATTATTGTTCAAGGTATTTTTACATTGAGATATGTAAATATGATGTGTCTGCATTGTGATGTCATGTGCTTGCTTCTACCAACAACTGGCTTCATGATATAGGGTAAGGAGTATAGACTGGTGCAGAGAAATATGATGTTAAGGCGCTTGATTTATGATTTAGGCACATGATTCATAATGACTCTCATTTGAGAGAGACTTCCTTGTTCATCAATTTTACAGTCTGATTCATTGATTCAGTGATGGTTTTAATTCAGTGAATTCAGCTGCAGATATGATCAACGGTAAGTTGAACATGTCAAAATATGACACATTTCCCGTATCCTGCTGGTCCTCTATTGTCACAATAGCTGTGGCAATCACCACCGTCAGATTATTAAAATACTCACCTGTGCCATATATACATTAGTTATGTATTCATGTAGCATTCCCCTTCAACTGTTTATTGAAAACGGATCAATGTTGATGTAACAGCCTGTATAAAATATCAGTTAACATGCTCAGAAGAAAGTACAATAACACTGCTAACATTGAGGAAACATTCTGTTGTGGAATGGTATATTTTATATGCTATTGCATGTCTTCCATTATGTTTCAAGAATAACGTGCCATATCATTTCTTTAATTTGATTAACATTTGTCTGATAAACGTCTCCATTACTGATCTTGTAGTACAACTGTTGACTAATTGCCTGTGTATCAACCACAAATAGGAAGTCCTATGTAATCAATTACTTGAGTTTGTTGTAGAGCTGGCTAAAATGATCGATAATTGGAGAAATACCAGCGATAACAAAATTATTAATGATTATCATAATTTATCAATGTGAAATTGTGTTACATAACTTTACTTTTATGATAGAAAAAGGTTTATTTTTCACACAAAACATACACATTTAGGACTTTTATCATGATCTGCTTCCAAATTATGTTCTGGACGCTGTTTTGTAAAATAATCCATGCAAAACATGTCACCACTCACCCGTAATGTGAAATATGTAAATTTCTTTCAGATGTTTTGTGGCATTTTGCACACATTCTTTCCATTATTTATGGATAATCAATTGATAGTTTGTAAACAGTTATTGATCTTTATGATCCATATTGATAGCCAGCCCTAGTTTGTTGGGATCAATACAGAGTGTGCTTGTTACCTGACCTCATTGACATACTGTTGGTCCTCACAGCAGTTTAAATTCGCTTCCCATAAATTGTTTCAATAACTACCAGTGTTTAATATCTGCTGAGAACCACTATATTTTAATCAAAGTTGAAAATCAGAGAAGTGAGTTTTCAACAGATGTCTTAAGGAACCAGATGGATTGACAACAGAATAGTGATGTGATGCTGACAAATATATTTCCCAGATTGGTTACACTGGACAATAACTTTCATAATCTCTGGAGACGTGTTGATTAGTTGACATATTGATTAAAGTAATATGTCATGATTGTGTAGCAGACTGTACATGTACAGATCCTGACCATATGATGATTGTGTAGCAGACTGTACATGTACAGATTCTGACCATATGATGATTGTGTAGCAGACTGTACATGTACAGATTCTGACCATATGATGATTGTGTAGCAGACTGTACATGTACAGATTCTGACCATATGATGATTGTGTAGCAGACTGTACATGTACAGATTCTGACCATATGATGATTGTGTAGCAGACTGTACATGTACAGATTCTGACCATATGATGATTTCAGTGTCTTGCAAATGTCCATTTTTAAATTTGTTAAAAAATGAGGAGAAAGTAATGTTTTTGTATTTCTGTCTCAGTAATATTCATCCTATGTTTTAATGTTATTTCATGTTTGTGTTACATTTTAAGTGTGAATAGCTGATTGATAATCACATTTCCATGGTATGGAATGAAGTGTCTCGTGGTGACATGCTTCTGTTTCCATTATACATAGGTCTTTACTGGAGACAGTATGGTTGTGAGGTTTCATAGACCTTATTGTACCATAATAAGACAACTCGGTCAAATGCTGATGGAAGCCAGTGTCTATGTTTACATTATCAGTATATACAATTGTTGGATTGAGCCCATTTCACTGGTGAAAATATTCAGCATCTTAAAAGATTGAAGGGGTTGAATTGTGGTTCTCTCAAAAAGGGCAGTACTTCCTTTTCTCTACCATATTTTTAGAATTTAGGGTATGTTCATCTGTACTACAGGAAGAACTAGAGGTCATACCTCAGTTGTTGCAGAGTAATTTGGTTAAAGATAAATTTTACACTGTTTTGACTCACTATACAGGGAGATGGAGGTTATTTAATGACACCCACACCAGTGTATTTTTATTAGCTTGTTGAATTACGGTTCCCCATTCTTGACCGAATCATCATATTTTAATGGCTTCGTTGTGTTTCGTAAAATTTGTAAATATGAGTTTTAGTGTAAATTTAAATAAATGATTGATTTTGAAGCTGAGTTGCATTGTGTTTGTGTCTGTGTGTGTCCAGTACAGGGACTGACTGAGTTTGGTTTTACGCCGCTTTTAGCAATATTCCAGCAACATCACGGCAGGGGACACCAGAAATGGGCTTCACACA